GATTGATAAATGCTTGAATTCATTCTTATTTACTTTTCCGAATTTGTTTATAAAATCTTATTATTTTATCAATATTTTTATTTTTTAATGACAAAGTACCACGAAAACAATGTTATTGCGCACCACTACCACTCTCCTCCTATTGACGTGTCTATTGGAGTCCATCTATTTTCGTCGCAACGTGTGTTCATTAATTATAATTTTAATAAAATGTAACCGAAGAAAAAAATATAACTTTTAAAAATATAAATGGATAATTCTTATTATTTTAAAAATCTTTAAACGTTTTTTTTTCGTGCATAGTTAATGATTTTTAATGCATATTTGATCAAATGTTAGTGCATTATTGCATGCTTATTTATGCGTTTTTTAGTGCATGAACTTACAAGTATAACGATTTTTGTATACTGCATGCTAAAATAATACAAACAAAAATAAATCGAACTTTTCTAACATAAACATCGATGTTTAATCTATTAATCGAAAACAAATCATCGACGTTGAAACATTAATATATCGACCTAAAACATCAATGTTTTTTGCCCATTCCTAGTTTCCATCAATTGTTATACATTCTATTTAATATTTATTTTTTTTTTTTAAATCATAATTCCCAATTTCATATGAACAATGATAATTAATAATCTATAAAGTATAGGCACATTATAATTGTGCTTATAACAAATTTCCAACATTTATTTTTCACTTCGACGAAATAAAACTTTTGGAACATACGAACAAGGGCGCATTTAAGGGGGGCAAAAGGGGCAAATGCCCCAGGCGGCAAATTTTTAGGAGCGGCAAAATATTCTAACATTTATTATTGATGTGTTCATAATTTTTTTAATTTTCACACCTTTTTCGTTATTGTTTAGTATTTTAAAAAATATTGTTGAGCATCGAATAAGAAATTAAAAAAATTATACTATATCTAGTCACGTAGTTAATAGTGAAATAACAAAATAGGTATACTACATTTATTATTCGATAAGATATTATATTTTCATTCGATGTTTATAATAAAAACTGGGGTACACAGAACGCGGTATTCACTTTAGGTCACATTAAAAAAGTTTACAAAAGGAGTAAAATTGTACCTAAAAGTGTTCAATGTATGTTAGCATTTATAAAAGAGAATAGTTTAGTTGAAGTATATCCTTATATTGATATTGCTCTAAGGATGCTACTATGTATGTACACCATCAAGTAATTGTTCAACGGAAAAATCATTTTCTACATTAAAAAGGGTCAAAACTTATTTAATATCATCAACGGAAGAAAATCGTCTTAATTAATTAACAACCCTCAACATTGAAGCTGATTTAACGAAAACTATTAATTTTAATGATATTATTGAACATTTTTCTTCTCAAAAGTCAAGAAAAAAATTATAAGATATCGATTATTTTATTATATATAATTAATAATAAATATAATATATTTAATCTAATAAAAAATCATGTATTGTTAATCATTATGAATATAATAATTATAAATTCCGTTTTCTAAATTTAATATTTATATATATATTTTTAAGAAAGGAATATTCACTGAAAAAAAAAATTAAGTTAATATTAGGATATGTATTACTATAAAATTATCTAATACAATATCGTTAATCAACTGATTTATAATTTGTTTCATAAAATTAATTTTTTTATTGCTTAACTTTGAATTTATTTATATATATATATTTTTTTTTGTTAAGGGTGAAGGGCGGAAAAATTATTTTACCCCGGGGCGTGTATATATTAAATGCGGCACTACATACGAAAAGAAACATTAGCAATTGACAAACCATGGATATCTACGATAATAATTTAGAAAGCACCACGTGAATTATCACATTCAAGCACGCGAAAAAACTTTGTTTATTACGTATTATCTTGTGCTATCGGTCACTCTCACAAGTGATTTTCATTTTGATGATTAGAAGAGGCCATATTGAAATCTGAATTTATGAAATTTATAGCCTTTTCGGTGACTCGTGGGTAGGCGCGGAAGATTAACCAGAAGTATAGACATAGTAAAGTAAATCTGACATCTTAGTATTACCTATATAGACCGAAATTCGCCAGTACAATAAACCGTAAATAAATCGTTCTGGTGGTTTCTTTAATGTAAAAACCTATAACTTATTCATAATTTAAAGTTTAAATGTAGTGAAAACTAAGTCTTAAATTATATAAACAAAAATATATATTTAACTATCTACTCTTTTCCTTCAACTTGTTTTGGTTTTAGTTTTAACCTTGTAAAATATAAATTTAACAATGTAAACATCATTCACCTGAAACATTAAAATAGTTTTTTTTTTTAACGTTTATCATAGTTTTGAGATGTAAGTAGTGATGTATTCAAGTTTTTGTAGCCCAAGGTGAATAATTTTTACCGCCCTATCCCAGAAATATAAGTTTATATATAATTACAGAATTTGTTATTAAATTATTAATAAATAATTTTTAAAAAAATATAGTAACGTAATCAATAACCTTTTTCTTTTAATAATTTTAATTATTACGCAAAATATATTGATCTGGAATACTTATTATTCATAACTTTGATCAAAATAAATTAAAAAATAAAAAATAAAAAAATAAAATCAATTTTATATTCACTAAAAATATACATATTTTAATTTTAAAACGAATGAGACTCAGGGACGGGTTTATAATATTTTTAAACTAGAAAATAATGTACCGTTGCTCAAGAAGAAACGATTCTGAGTAAAAAAATGCAGGTGGATCACTTAATACTTATAAAAATGTTTGGTATAGTGGTAGAACCAAATTTCTTAATAAAGTAGGTTTAAAATTGAATTTAAAATCTCAAATACCTATAAACAGTACAAATTTCATAAAATATCTGAAAAATTATAAAGTATCTATAAAATGCTAATTTAAGTACTCAGTAAATGTTTCAAGTCACTAATATTAATAATTATAAAATAACACCCAAATAACTAATATTATATAATCGAAATTTGTTGGAATTTTCATCAACTTTCATCAATTTTCACATTTTTTTTTCTGCAGGGTTTTGGTTAATAATTTTTAATTGGCTACAAAGAATCTTATGAAGAATCTTGAATTCAATTTTCATGCCTAAAGTATTCAAATTAAAAATTTAATGTATTTTTAAGAACAATCATACTGTAGATGTTTGTGATTTTTGTCGAGTCTTGTCGAAATTTAATAATACATTTAATAATTTTTGAAATTGTTCTCATTTTTTTTTTTTTTCATTAACCAGTACTACATTTAAAAAAAACACCAAATGGCGCCTCTGGCATGGGTTGTCCAATAATATGGAAATTACACAGTTTAATAATATCACAGGTGTGTACCAAATTTGACAAGTTTTTCGCTGCAATATAAATTGTTTAAATAATTTATGCGTACCATAATACTCTGATATAAAAATCATTAGTGTGTTAATAATGTATTTATGAATAATAAACACGAATATATATTTTAACCATATGTGGTTGTATGCATATATATATAACTAATTAATGTTAATAGAATTTCTAAACAGAAAAATGATACTTGAATTAGAAACTAGAAATATATATATGTAGTTTATACAGGGCAAAAAAAATGTACAGAGCAGGCCCGTGTACTAGGGGGGTTTTAGGGATTTAACCCCCCCCAGAAATTTTTAAAGTAAGTATATATTTATATATATATAACAAAAACTAACTACACACCATGCGTAAATATAATTTGTATAATTGTACAACTACAATTTTTTTTTAAGTATTTGTACATTTCCCTCTAGTCATTACACATTACCTATCTAAACTATTACCTCAAGTTCATTTGTAATTTCATAGTACATTACAGAAAAACTATTTGCTATAACACTGCCTTAATGTAAATCTTTACAATAAATAAATGTAGATTTAGATGAATATCCGAGTGTTGTGAATATGTCAATAACTGTGTGCAAGTTATTAATTCAATTTATGAAAATAGTGAGGAAGAATTCCACAAATTATTTTTAGATGTCGAAAACTTATTAAGCTTATTAGATAAAACGGTTTAAACGCCACGATTTATTAGGCAATCTACCTATTATAATAATATTTCAGCAGTTTCGCCAGAAAAATACTATAGGAGATCAATTTTTTTGCCATTTTTAGACTGCTTCAAAAGTCCAGGGTGTTTGGACCCCCCCCCCCCCCCCCCCCGAAATTTCTTCAATATTTTACGAATGTTTAAAATAATTATTCATATTTAATACCAACATAAATATTTTCAGTCAAAAATGACTTAAGCTCCAATTAATCATTGACTGCTTTTAATTGTATATCATAATATTATATGAAAATATGATATTAATTTTAATATAAGAAGATTAAATCTTTTTCTGTCTTATTTTTAACCAAATATCAAAAGTTAAAATCTAAATTCAATAAACTTATAATATACATGTTTTGGACCCTTCCCGAAAAAAATTTCTAGATACGTCCTTGCTTGCAACACTCCCGATGTTGACTTCGTCTGCAAAACGTTCTATCTCAATTTTAAGAGGATTAAAAACCTATTTGAAGAATAGCTGCAGTGAAGATCGTCAAACAGGCTTAGCTTTACTGTCAATCCACTAAAGTATCAAAATAAATATTGAAGAAATAATCATTACATTTCCCTGAGTGCCACGTAAAGTTGACTTTCTTTATGAATTAAAATGGTATTCAACAGTTTATTTTAAATTATTTATATTTCGTATAAATTATTATATTATATTTTGTGGTGTTTAATATTATCAATCAAATTATAATATAATTATGTATTTTTCGTTCATATATTAAAAATATTTTAAACCTCCCGAAAATGAATCCTGGATACGTGCTTGGTACAGAGAGTGGTAAATGTTTTCGTTCAATTCGATATAAAAACGAGGGAAAGAAAGTCGGCGCATGGTAGATAATAAAACGCGCGTGCGCACAATCAGCGGTGTATTCCTGTTTTAGATCATATTGTATATGATCTAAAATTTCTGTATACATTTTCTATAATCATGGATTGATAAACGCAAAATTCATCGTTGCTTACGAGCTTTCGACTTGTTTGTAAAGCAGTAAATTATCGCTTACGTTTTTCGTATAACTGTATTTTATGAGCTGTTCTATGATATAGCATTATGTCTGTTTCGTGTTTGCCTGATAAATACAACATTTTGTAAACACCCCGGGTAAAATGTAAATAATGTTCTTATCTATGTGATATATTCAAAATGCACTTTACAAAGGACACGATCACTTTAAAAATTGTACGTCACCAATCTGTGCCATTATTTTACTAGATGTTGATGTTTTATTTGAGACGTGACAATGATTTCAATCCGTAATGTTGTTTTTATCGTAAATACTGTTCTGCTATGTGTTTTGATTGTTTTCAACGTGTACTGTAAGTATATTTTACACAGAAGTTGAACAGTTAATAAGTTGATAATATTGACAACTTGCGCTTGTAATGTTTTAGTTGTAAATGGGGAGACGAGTTTTGTCGATACCAAAGAGTATGAGTACGGAAGCGACATCTTTTTTGAGATAACACATCCACCGGAACTACAATATACATATCGTATAAGACCAGCCAAAAGTTTCGGCATTCCTTTTGTAATTAACTACTATTAATAATTTTTATCTAAATATGACTACTTTATGCTTTGAATTATTGTTATTAGTGTTTGTTAAAACATTTATTTAAATTATATCATCTTATAAACAATTATTTAAGTATGTAAAAGGTTTATTTATGTTTTTAAGGACAAAGAGAGGTTTCCATCAAAGAAAACTAAATTAGTACTTGTTGACCCAACACATGGTTGTGAGATGCCTACCAATGCAAAGCAACTGAAAGGAAATGTTGCATTTGTGAAAAGAGGGTATGTTATAAACTTCTTTTTTATATCATATGTAAATCTATGAATATTAATGTATATTTTACCAGTAGTAGGTGTAGTTTTTTGAAGAAAACTATAATATCAGAATTGTCTGGAGCAAAAGCCATTGTTATTACTGACAATAACATTTATGATGATACCGCTTATGTACACATGATTGATGACAACAGTGAAATGTCTGCCAATATCCCTGCTGGTTTCCTTGTAGGTAAATCTGGGTAAGTACTTTTTGTATAATTAACATTCTCATACTATAGTATATGAACTCTAGTTAATATTAGAAATCAATTTCATGTCTTACAATCTTTAATCTCTATTGAAATATTTATATTATACTTGTGTATAAAATAGTGAAATAATTACAGCATTGTTTTTTAGTCATTTGATACACTCTAAAATGTCTGAACTGATGGTAACAGAGCTGCCTATTGTGTTTCCGTTGAATATGACTTATGTACCATTACACAAAATCAATCAACCCCCATGGATATCTATTTGAATTGCAAGTATTCAATTGAATTCTAGACTGAAAAATCCCTTTATAATACTATGTAGTGATTTTGTTTTGATTATTATTTATTATGTTTTATTATTTTATATTTTAATAATACTCATACTGAAATTTTATTTTTATCAGATACAGAATACTAAAAGGTTATATGCTGTTTGTTCTTGTTATTTTAGCTTTATTTATCTAGTTTAGTTTCACTCTGTTATAGACAATAATTTTATTACAAGGTCTTTTTGAACAGGGAATTATTTTTAATATGTATTTGTAAGAGTTATACTTTAGTTAGTAATTTTTTTTTTTAATTAAATTTTATAAAATTGTATTTATTGTGTACTTGAATCAGTGATATATTAATAGTTATGAAGTTCCCAGTGATGCTTTTAAAAAATCACACTATTTATAAACATAATTATATTGTTACATTACAAAACTACCAATTATAAGTTATATATTAATAAATTAATATTATGCATTTGACCATGTTTCAATAAATATAATGCATTAATATATTGGATGTAAGGATAAAATTTGTACTATTAAATGAACAATTACTCTCACCTACTAACTATAACTGATCTTATATGGTGTATAAGTTTTATGATAAGGATTTAAAATTAATAGCCTTTCTACTAAGAACTAAAGTGGTATAAGAATTAGGGAGATTTATGACAATCGTCACCAGATGTCAAATTAGAGTTAGCAATAAAATTACCATTCAGGATATAATTTGTAATTGATAATTAGTATAAGAAATTCAGTGATTTTTACTGTCAATAAAATTAAATTTCATACTTTAAGTATTACATTTTGAATGAAAAGTCTAAGACCTAAAAAATATCTAACAAATAATAAATTTGGTGTTAATCCTTTGTTCTTTTGGCATAGTATTTTCACTTATAAATAGCTACAAATATTTTTAAAAGTTATCACCTACTAACTATTGTATCCTACATGAATTATGAGGAAGGCACTCGTATGCATCCTGTAATGACCCTCATTTAAAATTCTGAGTGCATTCCAAGGAAAAAAGGTCATATTTTACCATAGCCCAAGTGCGTCCCAGTTCATTTAGAGTTACCCAAGGTGCACCATAAAAAGGTGAACTGGCTCACACCCCAAAAATATTTGATTTATTATTATTTATTTATTTTGTTTTTAAAATTTTTAAAAATGTCTTCCGTGCAATGTTACATATTTTGTCAAAATATGTATAAATCCTCATTGGATCAAATTTTTTATTTTGTACTCCCAAGTTTTTTGGAAATCATAAATGAATAATAAATAGTAGAATATCAGATTTAACAAAATACTAAAATAGAAATTTAGGTGCAAATATATTACCCAAAAGTATCTGTGACTAAAAACTTTATTGTGAAACCACGATATTCTTTAATTCAATCTGAATCTAAAACACTATAAAGAGTTTTTTTTTTTTTATGAATTGTAATTTTATTTTCTCCTAAATAACAGTAGTGATTAGCACGGTTTTGTTAATTATCTTAAACTAAGGAATAATCCTACTAGAATTATAGATAATGTACCAGTCTTAATTTATTGGAAATGAGCAATAACTATGATTTAATTCTAATTTAACCAATATTATTTATTACAATTGAACACGTTTAAAAATAATATATTAGGGACGATAACGTGGAAATAATAGTTGAGAATTTAATTATTAGTAAATATTTGATGTATGTAACAATGACAAATTTCTAGATTGTCTATATGATTGAGTCAATAGCGACGTTGAATGTGAAATGCCTCCTTCGGGAGTTTCTTGTTCTCTAACAGACCATTGTTGCAAGGATGCTGATCCAAATATTAAATAAAATACCAAAGCAAATGTGGACATGGATACAATAATCCACAACACTAAATTCCATTCTTCCTTGGTATTCTACAAAATATAAAATAATGACATTTTAAAAAATAGTTGAGTTACAACTTGTTTTTATTCCACAGTTAGAATTTACGATTTTTATAAAATTATATAGTTATAGAAACGAGTAATAGTTCCATATGCGCAATTTGGAGGGGGCTTGAGTGTGCTTAGCACCCCCATTTTTGAAATTAACCCCCTCAAATGTATTAATGTTAATTTACATTTAAATACTTATAACATTACTTTAACATTTTATTGATTGACGAAGAAAACTTTTTTTTTAATTAAATATTTATTTGTATTTAGAGTTTCATTATGATTGGATGGACCAAATTTTTTTAATAAAAATGTTAAAAATTGATGTAAAAACAATAAAATCCGTTAAAATCGTAAATATAATAATTTACTTAAGCGCTTATGAAATAAATTTCATATTAACGATTTTTAAAATGTTTTCAGTATAAGTAAATAAGTTAGTACTCGTATATGAGTAAAGTGATATTACATTTTTACTTAACATCCAAAAATAAAAATGTTATTACATAAAAACTTTAAAAAAATAAGGTATTTTTAAAGTTCTATATTTAAATTTAAAAGTTCTATATTTTTAAAAATGTTATCAAATACGAAATTAAATATCTTTGATATAAGGTAAAAGTTTCAAGTTTCTAGCCACATTACTTTTGAAATTATGACTAAATAACTAAAATCTGAAAAGTTAAAACCTTATTTACAGCGTATTTTTACCATTTCAAGGCAGTTTTTTCCTCACGCCTGGAAAAACTATTAAGATTTAAAAAAATTACCTATCTAAAATACCACCACATGCCAATTTAAAATCTAAAAAGTTCCTAGAAAAAACTTCTGGGCCAGTATTTCTATCCGAAAAAGTGTTAAAAAAATAAAATACAAACATCATTATAAAACCAGTGCTCGACTTGAGGGGGGACGAAGTACCCCAACTAAACTAATTATCAGAAATTTTAGCGTCCCCCTACTATTATTACGCTATATTCATAACGCTCAGCCAGTTTTGGGGACGTTATCTTTTTTTAAAGTAAATAGAGTCCCCCTTTTTTAATTTTGCCAAGTCGAGTACTATATAAAACCATAATATATTTCGCTTCACTCAGAATCTTAAAGTGATTATGTGATGAAACATTTATGTTTACAAAAGGGAAATTCATTATACACGCAATAAAAATATAAAATCAAAGTGAACAATTTAAATTCAGAAATATTCAAATGTTTGTCAAACATTTTAGTAACTGTTGAATTGTACGGGTTTAGGGCGTCTACAACCATTAATGAACATGAAAAAAATAGAAAAGCTTCAGCACCCCCAGTTTTTTTCATTGAAATTGCGTCCCTGAATAGTTCACTACAATTTGCACTTAATTTAATGTTCATTTTTAAGTAAACAGTAAGTTCACTTTTGCGTCAGAAATATAAAAAAACATTTTAGTAAAAATTCTATAGAATCGATTTTTTTATTTACCTAATGAGTTGCATAGAAAATTTCAGAAATAAAAACACCTGTGTAACGTCATTCGTCTTGTGTTCATATATTAGTTGCGTAATTAATACAACGGTTTTATGTGTACTAAATTCATAATTTTAAATAATATATTCTTTCTAATATATATTCTAATATAATAAGCATCCAAGAACCAAGAGTAATTTTAAAAAGTTAATACAAAATGTAATTTAATGTACTTTCAATGATAAAAAACTAAAATTATTTTATTATTTGTAATAATACGAAAATATAACTAGGAAATGTAGTTAATCGAAACATAATGAAAACTATTTGATAGTTATCTACGCGGCAATGATGTACCTGGAGAATTGAGTTATACTATGTAGTATAAACCTATAATTATGTAAGATTTGTCTTAATACATTTTATATTTTTTTAAATAACTTCAAAAATTTCCTGCGTATGACAAACTGACAAACTTTTTCTTAAGTCAACTCCATAGCGGCGTTATTATATGAGTAAAATTAAATATATACATGGAGTTTACGTGATTCTTGATTCTTTACTATAACCAGTGGACACAAATTACTTCAATTTTATACGCCTTGAATCAACTGGTCTGGACGTAGGTACCGATACATTTTCGACGAAAATGTTGATAAACACCTTTTGAAGACTACTGCCACTCAGTCATTTAATTGCAGGCAAATATTTTCATAAATTTGTCGGCAACCATGTCGAAAATATTTGTTTCCTTAGTCTTGCCTGCGCTTATGATTATTTTAAAATTAATTTATTATGGCGTTCAAAATATGGTTATACAGTTCTCAAACTACTTATGACCGCAACGACACCATTCTCGACAATGGTACTATACAACTATTGAATGAAATAATTTTCGGTCAACGGTAATGTTTAATATGATACTATTTATTATAAATAAAAAAAAAATTATAATACTATATTAACACTCCAACAAAAGCACATAATTATATATTTATAAAAAAAAACATCTAATTAAAACAAACTGTTAATATCACTTATTTTCTTGTAGAAACAAAATGGTGTACCTAGGTAAATTGGTTTAGAAATTTTTTATTCTTAGACGTCTTTAATTTGAATACTGCTGGTTTTACAATAAATATTTTTTCGTAATAAATCAATAAGAATAGGAATATAAAATATATTTATGGAAAGTGTTTACTGTCTAGATTACCATAACAATTAAAGACAAATAATATATTATATAAAACATTTTTCTGGATTTACAAGAAAGTGTGATGAAATCCATCAAGTGTATTAAACTATAATTTATCTTCTCCCCATGAGTTATTATATTATATTATATATAATATATAGTTATTATATTATTTAAATTATTAAACTCCCTAAAAAATTAAAAATATGGTTATGATTGCTAAGTTCGTATAAAATGAATTAAAATAAATTAAATAAATTAAATATTATTAAAATATTATTATATTATTAATATATTATTATTAAATACTATTAAAATAAAATAAATTATTTAATCAATGTTCGAACTTATATATTAAATAATAATCAAAATCAACCTACTATATATTGCTATATATTGCTTATGTAGTTTCATTATAATATTGTAATAATGTATTATATTTCATATAATGCAGGAATAAACACAAAGATTATTTCGATACAAATAAAGAATAAATAGCTAAATAATATTACAAATTATTCTTACCTCTTGAATAATAATGCTGTTAATAAATGTTGCTGGACAGGCAGCTGAAAACGCAATAAATGTAGTAATACCGGACAATAAACCAGCATAGTTGGGGGCAATGTCAAGTAATGTTGGAAAGAATCCTCCAGTATAAGCAAAATCACCCAAAGCCAGGTTAGCTGTTATAACAGCAATAACATGCCACTTAGTAACATCTTGAACATAAATAATAGTCAAAAATGACATAATGACCATCAGACTTCCTGTAATGGTACACGTTAATAATACATGCTATTATAGTATCTATAATTTATAATACATAACTCTACTTAATATGCTGTTTTATGTTTTTATATATTTATATTAAATTATATTGAATATTTTTATTTTTTTTGTAATTATCTTTAATTAATTTAACTATTAAAATAGGTTAGGTATCTAAAATTAACACTCGTATTATGTCAATATTATAATTTCATTTGACGCCCGATTTTAAAAAAATACTATACTAGTAGCGCAAATGTAAATGTAGTAGGTACTTAAAAAATATATTCGATTTCAAAAAGAAAAGCAAAAGACGAGTATTTACTTAAGTAAATTGTATGTCCAACGTATACGAACGATGTGTTTAGTAAATAAATGATAAATAAAGATGTTATTATTGATTGCAATCTGAATTAGTTCTTTTATTGAAAAACAAACGGGCTTTTCAACTAAAATACATTAGCAAAAAGCAGTATAGGAACTAAGTCGAGAAATCGATTAAGTGTAACTCTCATTAGTCTATGTTAGTATAAAGTATTTGGAAAAATACGGTTAGTAGACCCAAGGCCGTAGTAAGGGGGTGGCGATCGGTGCATACGCCCCGGGTGCAACTCTAGGGAGAACGCAAAAAATTAAAATCTTGCATTTAATGTTAAAAATTACAATGGTCAACGTCCTATATTTTGTTTACAAAATCTTTAATGTTCTCATATTAATTTAAGCAATCATTGAAAATAATATCCAATAAGCATAATATTTTTAAATTAAAAATACATAAGGGCACATTTTGAAGTTTCGCCCCGAGCGTAATGTTTGGTTGCTACGGCACTGAGCAGACCAGACTTTTAAATAGTTCTATTTCAATGACAGCCATTTATTAATTAATATACGTTACCAAAGATACAGTACAGTTTTCTACATGTAGTGTTCGATAATCCTGAATAGTTTTTAACCATTGGATATGTTTTCCCGTTGAAAATCCGAGTTATAAATGATATTGTAAACGGTATACTAAACAAATATCCACACTAAAAAATAAAAATAAATAAATAACGAATAATTGTATTATTTACAGTTACAAAACTGTATACTATGGTTATTGGTGTTGTATGTTGATTTAGGTACCTCTTTAGATTTAATGTCCAACATGGTTTGCAAAAACAGTGGAATATTGTTCATCACGGTGAAAAGGTTCCACAAAAATGTTGAGAAATATATTACGTACGCGATTAGTGGCATCGATGTAAATATGGACATCCACGGTACCGCTGAAGGCTATATTACATAGATAAAACACCGAAGAATTAATAGAAATGTAATGCGTTTGCTAGTGTGGTTCCGAAAGTAATTATGATTTTGACAAAAACTATAGTATACCTCATCAGATATATCGACGTTCTCTAACAAGTAAAGATATTCTGGATAAGATATATTTGGATGACTTTCGGGTTCATTGTACAAATAATTGTACCAATAAATAACGAACAGAATGGATATCAAAGCTGAAATTCATAACATTAAAAATACTTAAGTAAATGTAAATTTCCATCCAATAAATATAACATGTATATAACTGTGGGGGTATAGCTCATGATCCTAAAGTGGCATTACAGGTTCATAACTACATAGGAAAAGGGCATACAATAGTTTCAGTTGATTTTTATACCAAATTTTTGTACTTTACCCGACCGATTAAATAAAATTAAAAATAATTTTTAATGGATTATTGAAAATGTAATTTTTAAATTTAATAAATAAATTCGTATGTGTAGAGTATAAACAATGAAACAACTAGCAACGCTATTTTTTTCATTTCTTATTGTTTTCGAACCAACAACATAAACTATCAAAAGCGCAGTATTTATTTCTAAATAATTAATATAGGGTAGAAATAAAAAAATACACTACAAGTTTTAACTTCTCAATAAAGAATCATGAAATCATGTAAAACAAAAATGGTGGCCATGATAACAACTGAATATTTTACGTTTGCAAGCAATTGGAATACATTTTTCAAATCGGTTGAAGTCTTCTCCATCCGCATTTTATTTCAACCGGAAAATAACTATCTATGGACAAGTCGTCTATGAAACATTAAAGACGACTGGCAATACTTTTACCTGGTACGTAAAATATCAAAGGCCACCCTCCAAAACCGTTTATATTTAAAGTACAAAGTTGGCCACTCAATGGATAACTCAAAATAGTGCCAAAAGAAAAACCGCTGAAGCCGAAGCTAAGCAGAGTCGAAGCCTCCTCTTCAGTAGCCCACGAGCTGAATAGTTGGAAATACGGACCCATCGTTAAGCCCTGGAAAATACAACAAGTTCACGTAGAATATAATTTATGAATTTATTATTTATACTAGAACTCGAATGTTGATGGTATGAAAACTATATAAAATACGCTTAACAAGTTAATTTAAGATCAGAAAACAAAATTATATTCTACAAAATAGCTGTTTGATAAACCTTCACAATATCTTTCCAAATGGAATAAAGGTCGGATTACTTTTCCGCTTTTATTATAAAATTACTTTTTATTAAAAAAATATTAAATTTATGTTATATTATCAATGCAATTGATAATAATCTGTTATAATTTTGATTCTAAAAAATAGATTTTGTTGTTTTTTACATTATTTGTACGACGTATTTTATTTTTTTTTTTTTTTTATTTTTTATCCGCTTCTATATTTTTGGCATAGTAAGAAGGCGTTGAGTCATATAAAAATATCAAGAGTTTGTGAAAACATAAATTGTTGGTATACTTTTACGCACCTTTAAAAGTATACCAAACTTTTAGCCGAACAAAATGTATTTATAATAAATGTATTCCAAAACAAAGAAAACAACCAAATACATTCAATCCTTTCGGAAAATGCACGGAAACACATGACGTAATTCAGATTCGTATGCTGTTTGGACACGTTATTGGAATAAGAGCTATTGGGATCTAATAAGCGTCGTCGATAACATTCGGGAAAGGGAAATGAGAAATCCATCAACATCCGAGGAGGGAGGGCGAGTGTAACTACGTAGTTAAGGCCTCGGCATCCGGACCATGTAGCTGTGATTGACAACGATAATATTTTATGATACCGTGAACATCCCTTGGAGAAAACGGCACGCGAAAAACAACTCCGTGTGCACCATAGCCGCCATCGGGCACATCAAATGGAAGACAATGTTTCCGATGCCACCACCTATGAACGGAACTTTTGCGCCGTAGTTATTCGCTACGTAGCCGCCCACCATTGTCGTCAATATGTAACCGTACAGGAATGCGCCTAGAATACGACCCCGCGTCTTCGAGTCCCAGTCGAACTCGCAATTCTGCATGAGTCGCATAAAAAAAGTTGTGATTTGTAATTCACTAATTAGCAATGTCAATGAAGACATAACCGGATTCCTCATATAACTGTCAATGCCTATAATAGGCAGCCTAGGGTACAAAATGTGTATTTTATTATAATATAATTTTATTTTTATTTATTTATTTAAACGCCATTTTTTCAGCAATTACAAAGAGAATAGATTACAGTGGAGTGTTTTGTGTACAATGATTTGATATAATAATGTGTTTACAATAATTTAATGATAATAATTAGGAAAGAAAAGGAGTGAGTTTAGGTAATTATTAAAAGTTTGAACTGGAGATTTATTGATATTGGTTGTTAGAACGGGAGTTGAGGAAGCGTAGCATTCTATGGATAGGGTGATTATGATTGTGATTTGTGAGATGTGTTGGTATGAAGATTAAGGAGTGTGAGCGGGTTGGATAAAGAGGGATTTTTGAAAGATAATTTTTGAGTTCTCGTATACAGCAATGTAACTGATTAGGAACACTTTGTACTTTATTATCATAAGGTCATCAATCCGGCTTTGTCTATATGTAAATATATTATTTACGACATAAGTCTATGGAATCTTAATTTCCTCATAATTATATATAATTATAATAAAATTAATCATATTTTTAAATAATAAAATTTGGTATGACTATAGATCTTAAGATCTGATCACTATATATAACTATGTTAGGTACGTATAATGTAATAGAGGATGTTAAAATATCGATTGAATTTCGAAAAAATTAAAATCGAATATGCGATTACAACTTTAAAATTACTTCAATAACCACCCCGATTTATTATTACGTAAATATGCTAAAAGGGCCTCATCAGAGGGTACCCGGAAAAAAAGTCTCATTGTAAATAGGCTAGCGGAACTCCTAAAAAAACAAATAAGATTTAGAATGATTTCACTTAGAATTAAACAAAGAAGATTATTACTTTACGCAGCGGAGTTATTATTCCTAACCGAAGAAACAGGTGATAAGCAACTGTTTCAATATGATACTTTTTTGTTCAGGTACTTTTTTTCCGGGTGCATTTTTCTTGGTACTTTTTTTTTTAATATCCATCAGAGTTAACAGTAACAGTTACCCAAGTGATCTAATTCATCTAAAGCTTACAATTTATAGACTGTTGCCGCCACTTGCTTATAAGATAAAAATGCTTTGTCTATTTGTTATTCTGACCTACTATGAATGAACATTTTATTTTTAGCGTTATGACATAACATTTTATTGTTAAAACATGTAGGTATGGATTGCTTCTGCACAAGATCGTTTGACTAATACAGTCAATAGAGGCGTTAAACAGCAGCGTATAACTACCAGAAATTAAAAAGGTGTTCGTAAATAAAAAAGAAAAAAAACATTTATCCTTAATCCGAGTTGGATCCTAGTAGGCACTCACATGAATTAATTACAATTATGTCAAAATAATGTGGAATTTCTAGAACATTTCACTTGATCTAATTGAGCTTTCATTAAACTTTATGAATAATCATCTCAGACTGTTGCCAGCGGTCACAGACCGGGAAAAGTCTGAACGTTCATCGCTTCTCGGAAAAAAACCTTCGTCCGTGGCCCCAAAAATTTGCTGACGAACGATTGACAGTGACAATAATAATAATAATAATATCGGCGTTCCGGCACCCTTAACGCAGACAACATCCCTATACCAGGGGTTCCCAACCTTTTTAACATCGAGTACCATCAGATAGTGGCGTAGCCAGGATTTTTAAATGGGGGGGACTAAGCACTTTTTTTGAATAAGTAAGGTAAGAGAGGATATGAGAATTCATCCTTAACCCCCCCCCCCCCCCATCATCTACCTCCAAGTTTCTAAACGTAATTCAAGCATTTTAGTATAGTTTTAAAAATATTTATTAATATGTAATTTATAATAATAATAATAATTTTGGTTTCAGTGTTCAGTCACTTGCTCCACTCTGACAGCTGCATTCTCTTAGGCGAATTTCTGGCAAATTCAGATATTATTTCACTTTCATGGAATTGCTCTTTTTTATTTATATTAGCCATAGCTAACCCCCATTCAGTCTGTTTTCCGACATGGTGCTTCTTAAAAAAAATTTTAAGCGATTAAGTGCTGAAAACGTTCTTTCCGGAGTGAAAGAGGTAACTGGTAACGTGGCGAATAATTGTAAAAGTATTTTAATGTTAGGTCGAAGATTGGTGCGATGAGAGGGTGAATAAAGAGCAGAATTCGGTTTTGGAATAGTATTTTGACTCCATTGTTGCCTCCATATGAACAGGTCAGCCCTGATTGTAGACGAGGTTTCATCATGGAGATCTTGGACATACATTTTAGCAGCTTTTATAATATTTATATCATCATACACATTTAAATTGGCCGGAATAAGTCCTTCAAGTGGCATAACATCAATAAACCTTTGATTAAAACGAGCATTGATTCTATTAAATAGTCAAGATACATTATACATATAAACACGGCCCATGGGGGAGGCTATAGCCCCCTTAGCCCCCCCTTGGTTACGCCACTGCCATCAGACACTTTTATAATCAATACGCATACCACTTTAGTTCTAAAACTTAATTAAAAGTCAACATTTTTCCAGCGTATATTTTTATAATTCATTAATTTAACATTTTTTACTATTGGAAATTTATGAAGTAAAAAAAAATCTCAATTTTTAATTAAATCTTAATATTTAGATTACAATTATATTTTTTAAATTTAATGTGATATTCATTGTTGTTCATTTTGAACAAGAACATCAATATCAGGCTGAATAAAAAATAACAAAAATAAATTGCTACGATTACAAGCAACCCAATGTCATCGATATTTATAAAATCAGACAATATCAAATAAACTAAACTAAATAATATTGAATGCAAGTTATAATAATAATAATTATACCAAAACATTTCTTCGCGTACCACCTACGAGCCTTCCACGTACCACGAATTGGGAACCCCTGCCCTATACACTAACGGCAAACCAACTAATGGGTGTTTTTTTAATCTAATCCGTATGCCAAATACTAAGTTACGGCTTCTGTACGTGTTTGTACGGGAACCAGAGCGACGTCGGCACGGTGGCATCGTTCACGTCGCACGTCAAATTCCCCGTTGGCCGGGACATGCATACCAACGCCATTCCAAGGTTGTCCCTGAGCATAGCCGTCTGGACGGCGGCCAGGAAAACGCTAAACGACACGGACAGGCGGCTGGATCCCCATAACTTGGGCCTGGCAGCTGGTTCTGTACACACCAAAAATATATGCCGTGACGCAGGGCTTTAAATGACAAAAAAATAAAAACAACACACGGTAGGACAGTTATAAGATCTGTACACCATTTTAAGCGATCCGTACAATCGTCGTATCAATCGGTTATACCTAATTCATAACTAATACGAGTTAATTATAATGTAGGTAGAACACTGTTTCTCGAGAACATCGGCTGCGGTCGTCCGTTGACAAAACGCAATAGTCGATGATTATTAAGTAAAACAATATCCATTGATTTAATTTTGCTGTAAATTATTAGTAGGGCTCAGATATTTAAGCATATTTTATTTTTATTCGATTTAATTCAGATACGAATTTGATTCATATTCTACAGAATCAAATAATACTTTTTTTTTAATGCGCATTTTAAGATTTTAAGAACATGAACGCTAAATTCAATAAATAATTAACTTTTTTTAAAAACAATTTAAATTAAGTATTAAAAACCACTAAAAAATTAAGTACAAAATGTTTATCTCGTTTATTACATATATACTGTAATAACATTAGATGTAGAAAAAAATTCTTCGCTCTTCAAAAATCTAATTTCCAACAATAAATTTAGCTACAAATGCGATTAAACATTAAAGAAAAAAACAATTGTATTTAGGACCGACAAGAAGGTAGGGCAGGAAAGGTTAGAGCCCCAAGATTCGTCATCTTACCTATCGCGCAAAAAATTTAATAATAATTTGCTATATTAAAATGAAACTATACTAATTGATTTTTTGATGTGCAGTGCATTTTATAATATTTAAATACTATAATAAAATTATATAAGTGATGTGATCATTAAGGTCATTATATTTTTTCATCTTTTTATTTTTTGTGTACATTTTAGTTAAATAAATTAAAATTTATTAGGCATACCAGTACATTTATTGATACATAATTAATTTATAATTAATAATAATTTATAATTTATAATTTAATTAATTTAATAAATAATTAATTTTATTTCAAAGATCTTTTGGATTTGATGAGAAGCAAATGAAGTGCGTATTTGCTGTGGCCCATCATTATTCGATGCATTAGCAAGTGTGGTATCTCAATTTGCATCGTAATAATAATAATAAATAATAAATAAAATAAATAGTAAAAATAATAACTATAAATAATTCGCACTAATTATTATTATTATTGAAACTAATAGCAACCATCTATAAACAAAAATTTCCACTTTAAACCTCAAAATTTCTGAGCACCTCCCGGGGTTGGGCGTATCACTTTTTAATTTAGCTTATCATCTGCCCATATATCTAATATATTTCTGTACCAAATTTTGTAGAAATCGGTTCAGCCGTTCAATGACGATGATAGTTTGCGAGGCCCTGGGAAAAATAAACGTTGGGTCTTATAATTTATATTAATAAAATATTTTAAATTCAGTTAAATCAGAACCGCGAGGCCTTAAATATAATTTAAAGCGCGGGGCCCTGGGCAACTGCCCCTATTACCCACCTCCTCACGCCGTCCTTGCAGCCGTTTAGAAATGCATAAAGGACAAATAAACAGACAGAAATCCATTTTTATAAGACAAGTCTTCGATTAAAATTAATGCTTCAAAATAATTTTTTTTTTTTAATTTGCGAATCTGCATTCGGTGTTTGTGCAACTTATGTTTATTAATTTTATTTTTAAATCATTATTTTTTATAATTTGTTTATTTATTTTATTTTATGTCTGCGCAACTTTCTTCCATAAGAACCTTCTCCCGACAATAACAAATACAACAAAAAAAGAATTAGTGATATCGGTCCAGCCGTTGACGCGTGATGCCGTGACCAAGGGAAACAGGGATTCATTTATATATATATATAAAATAGGATAAATTAAAATAAATATTCATGAATTAAAACTAATTTTGAATTTTGTATTTTTTTTTATTTAAATTTATATTTGTTAATTTTTGAGAGCAAATTACAGTAATTTTAAGCTCATAAACATCCAAGCCCTACTTATTAATAATTTTTAACCTCAGCAATTATTTTGACCCAATAGTTAAGCGTTCCATTAAAATTCTCGGAGAATGTTGAGGAAATCAGTTTTAAGTCCCTATCCCAAACTTAAATCTTACCGTCACAATACAAAAAAATTCGGATTTATACACACGTATATACGCCGTCCAATAACAGTAATAGTATTTGATTTGTTATAGTAATAATATTATAGTTTAGGATACTCACGTATGACGTTGTTAAACATTTTGCATGTAAGATATTTAAGTCTTACTTTTGTAGTTTGAGAATTATAAAAATTATTATGGCGACAAATTATGACGTTGTAGATTTTTCTAGCAACAATCTGTACTGAAATAGAAGACACAGAGGGTTGAACGACGTTCAACGGATGTTGGATGAATTCTGCGCAGTATAAATTCCAAGGAAGTCGTAATTTATCAATTTTGTCTTCGAAAATAAATTGAAAGTATTTTACTTAGGTTTGATGTAAGTTATCAAATGAAAAATTTCAAACTGTTTGAGGTACTAAGAATACTTAATTTACTTAGATACAAAGTTTCAAACTTAAAAATGATATATACACAATAAACAATAAAGGGAACATTACAAAAGGAACAGAACAAGGAACATTTATTTGACAATGTAATGATCTTTAACATATAAACACCATTAATAATTGTATATTTTTAGAGTTATCAGTGCATTCTTAGTAGTTTTAAATTACCTAAAAAATGTTCAAAAATTAATCATATTAGAATATGAAATAAACAACTTACATTTTGTAAAAGATACAAAGAGACCACAATATTTAAAATACAGTAAAACCTCGTTAAAACGCTCCCGCTTATTACGTGGATTTTTTCCAGTTCTATAACACCTATAACCATAAATATTATATCGCCTATAACGCTATCACACATAATACGCGGTTTTATGATTTTCCCTTCGAGAGCGTCTTAATGAGGTTTTCCTGTAAATATTTTGACAAGTAATTTTCATTGAAATACATCAAGATGTTAGTTATAATTTTATAACACAAATGAGACAAAATATAAAAATTTTCAGTCATTTGCCAATTGCTTTTAAATGCAGTGTATATTGTCATCTGCTTTCAATGACGGTTAAACCCAGTCATTAATAGTAGACATATAACTCACTATTGCTACAATAATATAATAATAGTATTCCATCACTATTGAAAGCAATAGCTAGGTTGAGAAGTTACGAATAAGTGCCTGTTGATTTCTCAGAGATATATTATGGACGCTTAACGCCAGGTTGAACGAAGTTACAGTATGCGATATCAACATGAGATTAGGTACTATGAGTAGTTAATAATGTCATATTGAGAGGTTAATAATGTTAGTACATAAAGATTAACGGAACTTCTCATTTTCTGCACACAGACTTCGCAATGATTGTTGTCCAGAAAGTAAAAAAAAAACGGTAAGAAGTTTAATTCACGCACGCCAAGATTCGAACCATTCACCCCTAATCTACCTATTCCTAAACCTATACTACTGGAACACCCTATCGAGACACTTAGCAATAAATAAGTTAGTATATTAAAAGTAAAAGTAAACAGACTAGTTTATAAATAATGCGATGATGGTTTTTTATATCGAAACTGGTGGTAAATATACTTGTATTTGCAATACATTTTTATTTTTACGATACATTATAATATATAAACTATTTGGTATTATTAGGAATAATTTTCAATCAATTATTTAGGTGTATAATTTATTATATTCATATTTAATAATAAATACTTTACTACTTTATTGTCGTTAAATAATTTATATTAGATATTTCAAATAAAATAATAAATGTGCAACGTAGTAATGTAGTATATATTATAGGTATAGTCGTAGTTATTCAAACATAAAACGTAAAATGAAATGTAATAAAATAGCGAGCAACGACCACAAAATAAAATAATAAATCATAAACCACAACCAAACCATAAGTATACAGTTCGACAACGACCGTCGGGATGACAAAAATATACAATATTCCATAACACATAATTATATATATAACAATATTAATTATAACAATATCAATATATTCGAAAAGATGGCAATTAGAATGATACGATTTGATATGATGTTGCGGGTAAAACCCTTCGTGGTAATTCTTATAATTTATTATTATGCAGCCCCAACGTACACAACACATCAATAAATGTGCGTTTTTTTTATTTACTTCGATCATACTATTATGTTTATTATAAGCATAATGAAAATGTTAAATATAATCTTATTTTATAGATTTACCAATTCAACAAAAACCCATAGTCCCATAATTACTAGAAGCACGACCGGTACTGTTTGTATCATAGTTATAACTATAGTCTATAACAACGTTTCCCAAAATGTGGTCCGTGAACGTAAATTTAAAATATACAAAGTATAATTATACATTATTGTTTTTTAATTTTTATTTGTATTAAGGGGTCCGGTAGAAAAAAACTTTGGGAAACGCTGGTCTATAATAATAATAATAATATAATGTACTGAGCAAATTAAAACGGGTATTTCAAATCATGTTTCGTTAATTTTAAGACTGCAAGAAAACGTTAAATACATATATTTTGTTCTTTTTTCACTTAACATGGTCATTACTCATTACCAAGGCTCGGAACTTTATGCGCTAAAAAGTTCTCAAATATGCGCATACATATGCGTCAAAAAACATCATAATATGCGGTAAAATATGCAGTAAAAATTTGGAAAATATGCAAAAATATGCAATTTATTAAATAAAAAATAAATTTTATACACAAAGTTTGAAAATTAAAATTAAGTACATGAGAAAATAAAATTTAAAAAAAAATAAACTTTTTGCACACTTGTTTGTATTGCTGTCTGCCTGTATATCTTCAAAAAACTTTAACCTTCTTGATTTCCTACTAAAAAAAATTAGAATTATTAAATGTTTAAACAATTAGATAGGTTATTTTTTACCCGTGTTGCACTGAAGTAAGAGGTGTTTCCTTATGTTCTCGAGTTTAAATGATCTCCGATTGTCCGTCAAGAGATTTTTATAAATCGAGAAAGATCTCTCCACATCAACCGATGTAATTGGAGCAAACTTGTAAAAACTTAAATCATTTGTGGTAAGATCTTCATGTAGATCATCCATGTTGTCACTTTCTCCTCCAATTATTTTTGATATCTGTTTTAGTATTTTTAATCCGCTGTTTTTGTTTAAAACCGTTTCAAATTTCTTATACACTTTTTGCCCATCATAACCCTGAGCCATTTGTAACTGAACTTGAACTTTTTCCAGAATATCTAAGGATTCAGCTAAAGGCATATTTTTGCTTTGTAATTTTAAAATTGAATCTGAAAGTACTTTAAAATTTGATTTTATGTATACTAGATTACTTTTGACACATGTTTTTACCAAATTTTTTTTTGCTATTTTTATACTTAAAGCGTATTCTGAGTCTAACATTTCTACAATTTCACAAATTTGTTTGTAATATTCGCAGTAATAAATGCTAGCATTTAGCCACGTGCCCCAGCGTGTGATAACTGGCTCTGGTGGTAAGGGAATATTCGGGGCATGTGTCTTGAATATCTGAACACGCGATGGCGATTTTTTAAAAAAATTTTTGACATTTGATATAATTTTATCGATTGTGCTAAATTGTCCACGTACCTCTTCAGCAGTCCTATGGAGACCATGCGCTGCGCACGTCACATGTACCATTTTTGAATATAACGCATTAAGTGATTTCCCACACTTAACCATATAAGGCGCCGCATCCGATAGAAATAATAACACGTCATCGTGTTTGATTCCGTCAGGCCACAAAATACTGAGCGATTTGTCGAAAAATTTGCATATGGTAGAGTGGTTTGTTTTTTCTAATGCGTCGGTATTTAATAAAAATATATCACCTGCTCTATCTTCTTCTAGAGTTCCTATTATGGCGTTTGCAATTTGTCTTCCCTCAGCGTCAGTCGTCTCATCGATCGATATCCAAATTTTTTTTAAAAACACACGTTGTCTTATGTTTTTCATCATTTCCTCGTAACAATCATCAAGATAAAACTTCTAAGTCTCGATTCAGTGGGGACATCTTTTTGTGTGTATAGATGTAAGAATTGACGAAACTCTGTATTTTGTAACTTGTTAAGCGGAATATTAGCTGATATAAAAGCTTTGCATAAATCCATATTAAAGTCGATTTTTTCGACGTTAGATTTGTTAATAGCTGTTGGCTGTTTTTTGATTTATTTTACGTTCTACAGCACGACGATGTTTTTCTGTTTTTATGTGCTGTGTAATACTAGATCGTCTTTCGGGATCCATTTTCACTTCGCAAAGTTTGCAAAATAGAACTACATTATCAATAGAGAATACATCTTCACCGAACTCAGAGCTTAAAGATTTAAGGCGTCGTGACAATGATTGCTTATCTTTAGGCATCGTTAAATCAGAAATATTAAAAAAATAAAATTATCACTGCGACACGCGACGGGCTTAATACTGACGACTGACTAATGTGCACTCGAAGGTCGCACTGTACAGTGAAACCGGTACGCACGTAGACCGTAGTATTACAAGTTGTAATAATAATACTAATTTACAACGAACAGAATTAATATGGTGTATAAATACTGATAACAACCTAATGGTTAAACATAATTGTTTACAAATTTCCTAGGGTTCATATATGAAATATATGAATGCCGTGTTAAATTTGGATAAAAATAAATACGGGCCAGCCGGTCGGCAGTAACTATTTCGAGTTCTCAGTACTAGAGATTATATAATATTATTGTTAAATGCATTGGGAGCAATATAAGAATATCTAACGACATATTTTTCGATAAATTTATTTTGTAAAATATCTAATTTTATTTTGTTAACTATAATTAAATTGTATAAATGTAAAAAAAAAAATTGTTTTCGTTAAATCTATGAAATATGCATAAAAATGTTCTAAAACCTAAAATATGCTAATTCGTACAAAAAATGACGAAATATGCAAAATTATGCAACAAAAATTTTTATATTTGAAATATACGTAGTATGGATCAAATTTGTATCGAACCAGAAGTTCAATATGCACTTTCTAAACAAATATGCAAATGCCTAAAGTTCCGAGCCTTGCTCATTACAAACTTAAGTACGCATGGAAGTCCTTATTGAAACTAGATTATCCCTAACTTCATGCGATGACACATAGAAATATAAATATGTAATCAATTTTCGGATCCAAACAGTACTTCGCATACAGATTAATAATTTACATTACATCTTCAATCTAAATGTGCCTACGTATAGAATCCTTTTTTGCGATACGTTTTTAGTGATGCTCATGAGATGAGTAATGGATATAAAACAGGGAGATCACATTTGAGATCTAAACAGAATATCACATAATAGCGGAAGTCATATTATTGTACACCGGATGATATATAAATATACTCCACTGTAAAAAAAATCAAATGGCCAGTTTTGCAAGAGCTACTACATTTTGAAAAATATAATATTTAAGAATAACCGTATCAAACTAATTCAAAAAAATAATTTTTACTAACAAGAATGGCTTAATATTCTAGATATAAATAAAAGTAGTCAATTAAAAAATAATTCAATGAAAATTATTTTAAACTAAATATAATGAAATGTAATCATGATAGTTCATGAATCATTAGTATCTTTAATATTAGTAATAAAAAAATACTTAGACTTATCACAAAGTATATTACATTCACAAACGTGTACACTACATTAAATGTATCTAAAGATTGATTAACAAAATTGAAAACTTAGATAAAAAAAAAGTATTACATATATATATATATATATATATTTTTGAAATACATAATTTAGAATATCTAATACATTAGATTTAAGTTGTACTTATAGTAAGATATAGCTTAACCAATGAAATACATTTACAAATATCTCTACATGTTAGAATTCAGTATAAAGTTTATAGTAAATAAATATTATAGTATGAAATAAACTATTTAAATTTAAGGTAACAATAATGAATATTAATTTGTCAATACACATTAACATATTTTAACTACATAACACACCAGCATTTAAATGAATATATCCTTACAGATCTGAGATGTTTCGTTTTATTTAAGAATTCTAATCAAATAAACTTCTATGGATAAGTTGACTACTCAGATTATTTACAACCGAAGGCAAAGGATTTAAAATGTTCATAAAAAATTAACACATACAGAAGTTAAAAAAAAAAGTAATTAAAACAATATAATGTGTTAAATAAATACCATAAACAACTTTTCTGAATTTGTACAAAGAAATGAAAAATATTTAAATAACATTTTTTAGTTTAAATTAAATATTGACAACTTTAAAAATACAAATGTAATTTATTTGTTTAGTAGAATATATTAAATTTTGACAAAAATTAGATATTTAAAGTAAATTTATCTTATCCCCAAAACCAAAATGTGAATTATAATTACATAAGAACATTAAAAAAGTAACTAACACAATTTATTAAATAAAATTTCAAAAAAATTATAGGCTAACTCAAATAAGAAAATTATTCATTAAAATGTTTGTATTTCATTTAATTTAGCCATGAGATACTACATATGATTCTTAATAAAAACAACTACAAAGAATTAAAACATACAAAAATATTACTTATCACATCACTAGTATATAATTAAAACATTATATAAAATAATATTAAGTAAACCACATATTTTTGTACTTAAAATATTATTAATTATTTATAAGGCCAACTATAAAGAATAAAAATCATGATAAACGTGAAAATATTAGTAATTTGGCTTTTATTTTTATTAATTTAACTTTCAACATAAATTTTAAATATAATATATAGATGTGTGTGTATATAATATAATGGTTCTTCTGAATTTATAGAAAATATTACAAATAGTTGAATCCCCTCTCCCCTAAAATGTAGTATACACATAAATCAAAGAAATTCTCAATCGTATCATCTGAAGTTTTAAACCCTTTTAAATAAGGGATTTCCAAGGGTATTTATTAATTCACGGAGGATTTTCCAGTGAATAGTAATAAGACAATGTTTTTCCAGAGGAGAAAACATTTAAGTTTTAATAATTAAGTCTATTATTCAAAATATACAATAATTTGTGTTAGTAGTCACTAAAAATGTAATACACCTCTATAGAATTGTAGCAAAATAATGATACAAATGTTATTGATTGTTTATTTATGAACCATTGTTAAAATTAAAAATAATAATAAAAAAATTGATTTTACAATGCCAAACACTAAATTAATACATATAAAATAAACATTAAAATAAATTGAAAAATATGACAAGATGACTAAGTGGCAATATATTTTAACAATTTACTAGCCATTTTATTTTTTTTGTTTTAATCTAGACTTTTCTATTATTTATCATTCTTGACATAAGAAAAATTAAATAACAAGCAATTTCCAATCAAAAATATGTGCACAATATCTACTATAGTTGCGTAATTCAGTAATTTAAAAAGATTTCTGTGTTAAATAAATAATTATGAGTATAATGAAGATTTATAACAAAATCTCACCACAGCCATTTTTGAATATTTAAGTTTTTCTTTAATATGAAAATATATACTTCGTGATGATAGATTAATATTTACTTTATTTTATATATATATATGTATACATATATATAAATATATATTTATAGATGCATGTTAATAAATGTATTATTCACTTATGAAGGACTTGCTACCACTACAGACGCATTATTCACAGACCTGGTTGCTAATGGTACGAATTCAGCTGCATCTGGATTTAAAGTACTCTGAAAAAACAACATTTAAAATACATTAATACTGTAAAATATAAATTTTCTTTCCTAATTTTTAGTTAAATAATATGTAAAAAATAATATAATATTCATATAAGATAGTTTTGCAGAGCTAAAAAAATATCAAAATATTTTTAATCATATATTATACAAGTTTATGGCTAAATTAATAACTTTTGAAATTCCTAATTTGAAATTTAAAACGAAAAACAAAATTAACAAATATTGAGCCAGAATCTAATATTGTAGTCATTTAAATTTAACTTTAAATACTCAACAGTATTAAGTAATACTACCTATATGAGGTATATGAATAAAAAATTATAATATAATGTTATCCCACATGTAGTATATACTTAATAATAAAATCAAATTTTTACATTGCTATAAGAATAAATATCTTAACTGAAGGTAAAAGTAAATTTATCAAATAATAAAAAAAAAAAAAAACCAAAAAAAATTTAAGTTAATCATTAAGTTTAATTAACTTACGGTAGATTGCCTTGGTTGATCACAAGATGAATTTAAGCTCATATGATCAAGTCTATGTGTCATCATTGAGGTAGAACTGCTCGACCCATTTCTATATACAATAAAAACAGTTCAAATAATATTTAAAAGAATAATAATATATTTAACACAAAAATTTGAATTTACGTTTGAATATCACCATTTGTTGAACCATTTTGTTTGTTGCTATGTTCATCATCTAACATAGCCTCAAGACATTCCTTCATCAATTCTTTTTCTTCTAATTCTTTCATAACCTTTGAACACAAATCAATAACATAATTTATAAAAATATAAAAATTTGATTGCTATAATAACAAAATAACACAAAAAATTTAATCATACACAAAATTAATTTGAAAATTTAATTTACAATAAAACATACGGATAATAAATGATAGCACAATAATGTCACAATTGCCATCTAGCATCTAATTTAGTATGCTCAATTATATCATGATAGAAGTATATAAAAAACACTATTATTAGTAACAACTCAAAAATGATGATTTTGTGTTATGTTGTTGTTGTAGCAAACAAGTGATATATATATAAATATATACATACAGAAATCTAGTTTATACAGAAGCTACAAGAATAAACATTAAATCTTTACTAAAGTTAAAATTTTCAACTAAGAAAATAAAAAATTTATATCTTTACAGTAAATATACTAAATATCAATTAACTATTTTCAGTCATGAAATAAATATACAATAAGATCAATGAGTTAATTTAAAAAATAAATGTACAAAATAATGAATTACTATCAGAGAAAAATTGATAGAAGTGATTTAAAGAGTGTAGGTCTAATATTGACAAACTACCTAAAATTTCACCACTATTATAAATTAGGTATTTGAAAACTCAATTTACACCAGTTATACATAAGATGCCTATAACTAATAGAAAAACCTTAATTATAAATTATATGCGATAAAAAATAGAAATTGGTAAATAATTTAATAATTATTGTAAATATTTTTATTATTTTCAATATTTGAACTCTAAATAGGTATATCCACCATACAACTATTCAATAAAAGATGCAGAGCATAATTAGAAAGTACATTTGAACCTCCTCTAGTTACTATGAAAGAAAAGAAATAAATCATAATACTTGTAGATCAAATTCTTCTTGATTTTCCATCCACATATATTCAGAAAAATCACCATCTCGAGTTGGAGGATCAATTGAATCTGAATTTGATTCGGTATCATAAGGATTACTCAAATTGTCATCATCATTGAGTGTGTTGTCATTATTTTGATCTTTAGACTCTTCCTTTGGTACCTTCATTATTAATTAATATTTAACCTGAAGTGTTTCCTGTAACATAGAAATATGTGTTTATAGTTAAACCATTATTATAAATAATGATAGAATATTGACGTTTAAGTATAGCATCAGAACTATATTCATATATGATTCAATTAATTTAAGTATGCAGATCATGTATGCATATTTATCAACATTATAAATACTTTTGAAACCCTATCAAATATTAAATAGACAATACATACAATGGTGGAGGAAGACTTGCTAGCACCCCAGGCAAATTTAAAAGAAAACGCTTTTTAACCAATTCAAATTTGATTATATGGTATTTTTGTTAACCTATAGTTTACAAATATTATTTTTTAGATATACAATTTAGAAGCTATATTCAGAGTAAATTTTAAACTTTGAAAATTTACTATTCTCTCTTTAAGGCTGGCAAATTCATCGATAATTTCTTCATATGAAATTTCTTTTATTTATTCCCTTGTGTTATTTTCATAATTTAATTATTAAATGTACAACTAGACAAGATCTACATGTTTCAAAAAGTATAATGGACAGTTTTCATTTTAAAGGTAAAATAAAATTACGTATTTTACACAATTTTGAGCCCCTGGCATAAGCAAAGTTTACCATGCTCTTGCTAGACATAGTTGATTGTTACTTCAATAATTTGACGATAAAATAATTTATGGCTATACCTACTTACCATTGGATACCAAATTAATGAAGTACAATCAATGGTATACAATTTAGAAACACCACAGATAAATATACTTTCAACATCATGTACACATTGTGCAATAAATACTCATTTGTAGGTAGATAATATTTTATACTAAATTTTATACTAATTTACCCATTGTGGTAAGTAAACAAACGGTTATACAATACCTTTGAGCAAATATCCAACGTTGAAAAAACAAAATCGAAGTAAAAAATAGGTATTCTGAATCATAGATATGTGAGAGTAAAACAGAGCATCATGCATATATAACACGCTACCCGAAAACCAATAAAACAGCAGCAGATAATGTTTGTGAGATGAACTTTCCAATTCCCTTAATAGAGATTGTACGAATGGCGAAAGAAAAAACCAGTTTGATAACATCAAACACGTTTCGCTTTTTACTCGTTCCAAGGATAATAATTATTATAAAATAGCATTGTTACACATATTACTCTATTATTATAATAAACGTTGGCACACGTATAAGAGGTAGTGACAGAGCAGAGTCGACCCTCTCCGACTAGGTCGCGTCGGATTTTCCGTGGTCAAAGAAAACCGATTAGAAAGTTCGGATTGCCGTGACCCAAAGATAAGGTGACGGGACACGGCATGGGTCTCAGGCGTCACTCTCGTCGGGGGTGTCCACTGTCCCGAGGCCGCGAGCACTGATGAGGGGCCAGCGCTACGGTCGGAAAAACGAACGACCGATGGCAACGGGACGCATGAGAACACCCGTGCACCTAACGTAAGTTCTTGGACGGGAATTTCAAACACTTTTCGCGATGCCCTAGTTTTCACCCGTAACGTTACGCACGCTGGTAGGAGCGGGCGCGCACGCACGCACACATACGGTGCACTTGAAACGCGTGTCTCGAGCCACGGGAACGTGGTGAGAGAACGTACGAGGACGAGACGAAGAAAACCGTTTGCGCAGCGCACGGTCGGTCGACAAAAAGTAATAATAAACGCAATGATTTGTATACTCACGGTATTGTCGGACGACTGTTGACGCGTCGAACACGGCACTAGCGGATAGTAGCGTAACGGAGGAAATAAAAAAAACAAAATAAAAATGGACGGCCTGCGGACGACGAGTACGACGACGTGTGCAGTGACGGCGTGATTGCTGACGGACGATGGTTGCGCGGCGGTTCACGAGGAAACACGGGCGGCGAGAGAAACGACGACGACGGCGGCTAACTACGACGTGGTGGGGCGGAGCACGGGCGATCGACGCGCGGGGAAGAGTGTACGGACGGGCGGGACGGTGCGGTGCGCGACCGGTATCACGGTATCGTTCGCGAAAATGGAAGGTGAACGGGAAATGTAATAGCGAAACGGTGGACGCGCGGAACAACTCGTGCACGCCGCAACGGGTGCGTGCAGGCAGCGCGCTCGGACGGCAATGGGGCAAACTGCTCGTGCGGCCGTGGCACCACGGAATAGATTAATCTACCGCCACCACCGCCGTAGACGCTCGTTAATGATCACGCGTCGAGGAAGGGGTGCAGCGCGCTGTTTCACTCCTCCACGCCGGTTCCTGTTGGTACACGTATATACCATAATACATCCGTGGAGCACACGTATGGCTCGTGACGTAAGCGAGTTGGTGGTGCAAGCGGCACACTTCCCCGTTTCCATCGAGCATAAATTCTATGCCACCGAAACGTGCCGTCCGACCAGTGCAGCCGGACGTGTCGGCTTGAAACCGTCGTACCTATATCGGTCACAGGTGGCGCGACCGGGTATCGCCCCGTTACTGTTAAGAATCGTGTTTTCGTTGCGCATCTCTTGGCTAGAAATGTCGGTATCGTCCAAAAGTACAATTTTTAAGCATTGATTTAATATACATAGACAGCCCACGCAATGATAAATATTGGAAACGTCTCAAATGGAGCCACAATTGTAGTAGTAATGGATTCCTGATAATAGAATGCGCTGGCGTTCCATATAAACATTTGTAATCTCCGATTTATTGTTATCCGTGATCAATGTTTATACCACAGTGTAAGGATTCTGTGTTGATACATTGCTGACAAACTATAATCAATTTTATTCATACGTCAGTTAATTATCATTATATGGTTTATATTGGCGTGTATCGACTCCGCAGAAAAGGTCTTCTTACCTGTAAGAAACCAATCGATTGCGCCGAAAATATATATCATTACATTACTATAATATAGTATATATTATATTATATATATAATGTATATATATACCATATCTATCACGACGGTATTGTAAGAAAAAAAAACATATACATTTTATAGAATAAATATATAATAATAATATATATATATATATATATATATATAATAATCGATATTTGGAAAAAAAAGTCCCACGGAAAAAAGTCTCCAAATTAATATTTGATTTAAATTCAGTCTTTTATGCACAAAATAAAATATACAATAACATATAATATAATTATATAATATATTATAATACAGTAATATAATATCTTAAACATTTATAATCAGTGGCGTAACTGGGAAAAAACCTAGAGGGGCAATACAATATATTTATTATTAACAAAACCCTGACACCCCCCTCCCGCTTACCAGTTAAAACATATTTTTATTGTATGTATTTTATACACTATATCTAATTGTTTGATTTTACATAAGTCTTTTAACTCATTTCATGGTTTAGATAAACATAAATTGTAGGTAGCATGTACTAGGTACCAATATTGTTAAATAATGTCCATAAGAGTTCATTAATAAAAGGTGCTATTTGTACTGTTGGATTATCTGGGAGGGGCAAAATTATACCTTTATCTCTCAAAAAATTTACAGAGGGGGCACTTGCCCCCCTCTTGCCCCTCCTCTTCCCCTCACAATTACGCCACTGTCTAAATTATTTAAAAAATATAAGAATGCAATTATTCAGATATAAAAGATCTCTTATATTTTTACCTATTTGTTTTAAAAAATTAGGAATATCTGCAGATTTGTCCTCATCAAAATGCTTACATAAAATGTTCAATCGAATTTCAATTTTTTTACCAGCTTTTGTTTTTTTCCGATTAATTTCTCCTACTTCAGCCAATACCATTCTTGCCTTGTCCATACCAACTTTTTGACGCATTTTTGTTAGTAATTTCCAAATTCTGGGATGTTTAATGCCAACGAGATGGGAAAACCTATTGTTTCAGCCCTCACAAGCAGATTTATCAACCAAATTTATTTTATAAATAAAATAATAAGTATAAAGGAAATATCGTTTTATTTATACTGTAACGAGACTTTTTTCCGTTTACCATAATAATCAGAAATAATTGTAGTTGGATTGAAATATAAATTTTGAGCTGAGCATGTTTTTAAAATACATCTAAATGCGGTAGCGTATGTATTTGTGCTTTTGTCTGACAATAAGAAATAGGATAATGGAACACAATGTCCATTTTTAAAAATATTAACCGTAAACGGTTGATAGAAATATTTTAGGCACCTATAAAATGTACCATCTACAAATATTTTGTCACTAAAGCATAGCTATTTTAAATTAGAATTTGTAGAGTAGAATAAATTATTATTTACTGTGTCAGTATTTAGTAGAAAATCTGCTGGAAACAATATTATGTATTCACCTTAGATCATATATGATCGTATATGATCTAAGGTATTCAAAAAATCCAAAAATGTTTTAATATTATAATATATATGTTATATTCTTATATACATATATTAATCTTCAGCGGAATTAATATATAAAAATATTCGGCGCAATCACATATACAAATATTTGGCGGAATCGATAAACTCCCATTTATATGCCATACGGGTGTCGATAAAATTGTAACTGTCCAGATTTTCGATTATATTAGATTAAATTAAATTAGATTGTGTTTGTAATAGAAAATAAATCGTCAGAATTTAATTATTTAAAACAATGAGAAAAATAGTTAAAATGTTTTAAAACAAAATTTAAATGACACAATTATGATAATTACTTCCTTGAAAATGTTTGATTCAACAATTTAAAAATATAATATTTGTTTTGAGATACAGGCCAATTCACTTTATAGGTGGTTAAACAAAATTATATTTTGTTTGTATAAAACAATTATAAATTGAATATATTTTCTTATCTCAGGTTATTTTATGGCGTGTTCTCATGAGTCAAGTTTAATTGACCGATTATAGTTGATCAACAAAAATTGAATATAAGTTGAATCAGTTTTTGTTCACCCATTTCAACATAACATGTTTCAATTTTATTTTGAACTCAGTTGAAAAGCCGCGGTCGACACGTAGTTGACACCAACTGTCATGCTTATGATAAAGTTCTAAGAATTTTAGCATCACGCTTTTAGACCACATGAGGCTCATTTTTAAAATTAAAAATATTTAATGCGTTAAAATTAAAAAAAAAAACATAACTAAAAAAATAAAACATAAAATGCACGTGACTGTCCACTGGTTGAAAACAAACTGAAGTTCAATTTGAATCAACTGTAGTTTAGGTTGTTCTTACGTGTCAAGACAGGTTTCAATTTAAACTTATATTACAGTTGATTCAAGTTGAACTTCAGTTTGTTTTCAACCAGTGGACAGTCACACGTGTATTTTATGTTTTATTTTGTCATTTGTGTGTTTTTTTTTTTTTTAATTTTTAATGTACTAAATATTTTTAATTTTAACCCAAAAACGACGTTTTTACAATTTTTACAAATATTAATTAAAATCGCTTTTAATTCTTCTTTTACTAAAATACTTACTGTATTTATAATTTCACATATAACTGCATTCAACGTCATTTTCAACTGTATTGATATATGTGATAAAATGAGTTCGACAGTGGCATTGACTACGTGTTGACATTACGTGTAAAACTAAGTTGAAAATAAAATTGAAATATGTTCTGTTGCAATGTGCGAACAAAACTGATTCAACTTATATTCAATTTTTGTTGATCAACTATAATCGGTCAACTAAACTTCACTTTTGAGAACGCGCTTATACTCAAACAAGTTTCCTGGACCATCAGACGACTTGATCCCCCTGTCATTCTCTGTCTATCTAAATTCGATAATAATTATTTTTTCAATTATGACACTTAACGCTATCTATTGTCACATTTATTTTATTACTTAATAGGTTTCCATATTTTCCTATACCATGGACTATCTATGTATATTTAAATCAATGATTCAAGGTATCAATTTAAAAAACCGTTATTATCGATCACAATAAATATCATTGTTTAAGTATCAATTAAAATCGATATTAGTACACCTATCGTTAAAAAAAAACCGAAGACCAACGTGGCTGTATATGGCGACTCAACGTACTACACGTTATATACCGTACTGTATTTGTACGATCCAGTATCTACAGAACGGAAGTAACACGCTATGGTTGGTGTCGAAAACAAAACAAACGCGGCCGAAGTCTTAGACTAAAACATCAACCAGTCATATGCCAGAGGTAGCGAACGTTAGGCTACCCAAAGTCAGAGTGCTCAAAAAATATAATTAGATTATAACTAATTATTGGTGCAAATTAATAAAAATAAATAAAATAAATATTGTTTAAATATATTTGACCATGATATTATTGTCATATCGAACGATTTTATCGATAGTAAATATTTATCGAAGAACTTAATCGATGTATCGGACAAATATATTAATATCTTTAACTTAGCGATGTATTGTTGACATCTCTACTCTTGATTACTAACTCCCAATCGCATTTCCAGCACTCGTAGTTTTTCAATTTATTCTAGGGATGGGAAAAATGAATCAATTTGAATCATTGATTACAATGGTTATTATAATCAATGTTATTACGGCTAAATTTATGTAGGTTCGGGTTTTACTCTAAGATTTAAAACCTGTTGCAAAAGAAATTATTAATGAATAGTAAATTATATGAAAGTTGAAACTCGTCAACTGGAGTCGTTTTTAGGATATTGAACGAATCGTTCTTACCTTTCATTTCTGAATCAAAATGTTCACTGAAGTGATTTGTTCGTTTTGGACGAACCGCTCGTGAACAACCTATATCTAATTCATGCACATTTCTTATTATTAAATCGATCATATCTATGAGTCAACATCGAATTGATACATGAAAATACATCAGGAGATTCTCCGTGAAATTGTATTATTGTGTTATAATATTTTTATGGATTTTGCAGATTAACTTTTAATGAATTACATTTTTTACTACATTCCACGCTATCATCACATTTAATTTTATAGACATTGCTACACTCGAGGTTATATTCGTAAACTGTTTAGCATTCAAAGTATCTTGTTGATCATGAATTACCTAGACTGTGAAAAATGTATATAGAAGGAACTAGTACCGTTACAGATAAATACTTTGTAATTTAAATCAGGGACAGAAACCTTGATGAATTGTACGGTTCCAGTTCCGGTTCCTAAAAAAAAAAAAAGGTTTCTGTTTTGATGCCGATTCTAAAATAAATAAAATTTGGGTTTCTGTATCTTTTCGGTTAAAAAAAAAAACTAAAATTTCGGTTTCGGTTTATTTTCGGTTCTTAAAAAATGAAAAATTAGTTAAAAAAAAAAAGGGCAAAGAGTATGTTTCGTCTCTCCAAATATAGGTACAAACTTAGTTGATACTTCATGTGGAACAGCTTGGAGAAGAATTTGGACTGAGTATATATAATATTTTCGGTAATAATAATCTATTATGACTAAGATCATAGATTAAATTAATTAAATATACCATGGGATTATCTGTTAACACAGTATTTCTGTCTATAAGTGAAAAATGGATTTGAACATAAGACTACAGTGCCATACAGAATTTGTCCTCACCTGTCCGAGCTATTTCATCATAAAGAAAAGCAAATGTTAAAGACAAACGTATTATCAATATTAATTTTTTAAATTTTATTACATTATACATTTATGCACCTTGTCTGTTTTTGACTAAAGTATTGTTTCTATAGTATTGATACTGTCGTGTGTAGTGCGTACAGTTTATGCCTAGTCAGTAGTAATTATTGCGTAATATTATTATGTCATTATGATCCGTGGTTTTTAGTTGCATGGCTTTTTGAGTGATTTTAAATTACTGATTTACTTACAACTACCTATTTATAAGGTTGTTGAGTATTTTAAAATAACTTGAATTTTTTTTTTATCTTGCCGAGAAAACTATAATGTCTTGAAAAAAAAAAATTTAAATTAGTATGATAAGATTAGAGGCAACCCTCAGTTTGTCCCCCCCAAAAATATATTATGTTCCGGCGTCCTTGTCACTTAATATATCATTATTCAATATTGAAATTTTTAAAATATAACTCAGGCGTGCTTTACATCAGAAAACGATAGTCACAATCACAATCATAACATGCCTACAAAAAATTTATTTATAGACATAATTTTAGAAATTCTCGTTATTATGGGAATTAGAAAACCCACATGCAGTAAATAATGACTAATTTTGTTGCAATTCCTATTATAGTATTACATTATTATCAGTTGTTACATAGAACCATTGATTATAGAATAGATAGATAGTCAACGCAATGTTAATATTTGGCGACTACTCGTAAGATGCAACCGCTATGGAGCGCTGGCTATTCTATAATCAATGATAGAACCATTGTATACTTTTATAGTTTAATGACACGTCTAAATTCTGTAAGTACTTGTATGATTATTTTTGAATATTATTAATCCCAATAGTAATAATAATAAATCTACATATTTGTGTAGTTCTTATTACCCATTAATGACAGATATAAATAAAAAAATGCAATTATAACAACACTGAAATTAACAGTTAAAAACTTTTATAAAATATTATCGGTTCTGATTTTTAAATAAATACAAATATAGGTTCCGGTGGGATTCCGGTTTTAAAATTAATTTAAACTAGGGTTTCGGTGAAGTTCCGGTTCCCAATATTCAAAGGGTTTCGGTTCCAAAACCGGTTCTTTTAGGTACGGTTCCAGTCCCTGATTTAAATGGCTTGGTTTCCCTCATGAAATTCTTTAGTATGTAAATTATTTAATGTTTCAAATACGAACATGTTTTTAATTGACAATGTCAACTAAATTGTAGTAACAGTGGTCCAAAAAAAAAAAAAACATTTAATAATTACAATTCACAAATTATACTGCAAGTTGCTATTTAGCTATGTTACTTTAAATAAATTATTGGTAGAAATAATGTTTTGAATTATAGAAAGTGTTGTTCAAACATCTGTTCAAATATATATCACATATTCAAATTTTTTTTAACTTTGTTAAAACGATTGTCTAAACTTTAATTTAATATACTAATAAGTACAAAAAAGAATAAAATGGTTTTTGAAAAAAGGATAATTATTAGATTTTTTTTTTACATAACATAGTACTTGTAGCATTAAATTGCTATTTTAGTATCAATGAAATAATTGACCAATATGAATACTGATTCGAAGAAGTAAATTATAGAAAAATATTCAACATGTTTGATAATATTTTTACTAAAATGAATCTCGGATAAAATCCCGCGACCAAAATCTAGCCGGACAAAATTCCCGCCAAAAAATTGAATTTGAAGTTTATCAAATAGGCGTGTTTAAAACGTAGATATTTTTTATTTTTACTATTTTACATTCATTTATTTATATTTTATCGCAGTTTCATATAATATAGACTTTGTTATTAACATTATATTATATTGCATATTTAATAATTTTACTAATTTATTTTACTTCTTTCATTCAATTAAATTTTATACATTGAATTGCAAATTGTGAGCAATGCCACGTAAGTAGTTGAGTGTTGGTGTTTTGGAATTTAGAACAAGTAGACTATATTCTTGAATTTAATATTTGATAAAATTTCTTCAGAGATGCATTTTCCTTCCTCTGAATAAAACTTTCTATCTTTACCCTCGTTAGATTTTCGTATTGTTTAAATGTGTTAATTACTTTCCAAATAGAAGGATGTGTAGCTTGCAGGTGAGAATAAAATATTGTGTCATTCTTCAACGCCATTATTTGTTTGAGGTAGATTTACCACATAAGTGAAACAATTCCACATAGACAGAGGAAATAGAGGACTGCGCCGACGTCCACGTCTATCTAGACGTTCCAGCCAAGTATCCTCAAGATTACTGAGAAGAGGAAAAAGTTCTGTTTCATTATTTTAGTAAAATTCACATTCAATCAAAGTTTGAAACGCTTTTTTCATAACCTCCTCTGGAATAAACGCAAGAGCTGTTATTTGACGAATTTTTAGTGCAAATTCAGAATCGTTCATATATCGCTGTTGCAAAGATGGAGATTGAATGTGACGACATATTGACTGGAAAAAATGAAAGAAAGAGCATATCACTAGACATTTCAGAAAAACTTTAGTGACGAATTTTTAAACTGCTTCCTTGAAGTCTATCATTAATGTACTAGGTTTTAATGATGTGTTTAGTTCTTCTAGTGTGGTCAGAAATGTTGTGTAAGTTGCTCGAGTTTTATCAGGCAGCAGTGTATAGACAAACGGTTAGAAAGTGAAAAATGTAACTCCATGAATAGTATAAAGATGCGAGAATAGTGAGGGGATGAGGAAAATTTTCCGTCAGCATACCAATGATCACAAGTCGCAAATTCTAAATTTGCTTTTGTAGATAAAATATATTTAATAATAAAAAAAATATAATAAATGGTTAGTACTCGTAAATGAATATATAAATAAATGGTATATTTATAGAAATATATTGAATTAATGAAATGTAAGTTAATAATAAATCATAATTTTTTAAATAATTTATGTATACATGTGTTTAAGGAAAACAGTGACAAGAAATATTACGAATGCATTACTATTTATTTAATTCGAGTTTTTCTTACTACATTAAGGACTTAAATTAATAGGGCTTACATTAAACTTGCATTTAATTTCGAAAATTTAAAATTTTTATATTCATTTTTCATTGTATGTGTGTCAAAAAATAATTATTTTGAATTATACCACCTATTTTTGAGTTCAAATATGAATCCCTTTAATTTTTTAAACAATTATGTTTTTTTATAAAGTTTGGTCTTATCTTGAAACCTATCCAATTGATAATGAGTTAAAATTTTATTTTATTAACTATATCATATTTTTCAACAGATTATCTACAGTTTTACAATGTTTCGAGTGCTTTCATAAGAATTGTTGAAAAATTAAATTAAGTGCACTGCAATAAGAACAAAACATTTACATTATTTTAACAGGGTTTTTTACTCAAATATCTCAAATGGTAAAATTTGAATTAATTAATTAAACAAATTTAAATAATTTTAATTCATTTTTAAAACAATTTTTTTGATTTTATTTAACAATTAAATGATAAACCAATTATTTTTAGTAAAATTTGATAATATAAAAATTGACAATAATATTATTTACAACTGTAAATTTAAACAAATAATTTAAATATGATTATAATATACTACCATTTTTACCTTTATGCATTCTCTTCAATTATTTAAAGCAGTAAAATAAACAAAACAAATAACATAAATTTTCTCTTTGCTAACAACTTGTTATTACATGCATCTGGATAGTGAGTAAGGTTCAATTCGTAACTAAGTCTTTTCTTTATATATTCAAAACTAAAAAAGTCAGTTACACTATAATTATTTAAAATAGTCAAAAGAAAAATTGATTATAAATATTAATACAAAATTATACTAACCATCATTAATTCAAATTATGAAGTTTCAATAATTTTTCAATTCATCAATCAATTATTCCATGACCACTAAAAATATGAATTTAAATGAAATAATAAATTATTTCATTTCAATTATTAAATTAAATTTTATTAATTGACTAAAATAATATAAATTATTACCTTTAATAATTTCACCAATCATTAAAAACAATAATTCATTGTACTTTTTGAAGATCGAGTCTAAACAGATTCTATCAAAAATAAAATAAAATAAATATTAAAACAATTTAATTATCATACATATAAGTATAATCATTGGCTAAATATAAAATATGTAAAATTGATGTAGAATTAGGTCTTAGGTACAAAATTATTTTAAATATTAATGAATATTTTAAAAAAAAAATTAAGAATATATGAAATTTCATATTTTTAATTTGACTATAACCATTTTATTTATAAAATATATACAAACTGTCTTTGATTATACATCATAATACTTGTTATTTAGTAAATAAATAATTTATAAATTTCCAACCTACCTAAAAAACTTACTATCTTTGAACCAGGGACCTAAGTCCTATGCTGATGATAAGAGTCTCAATAATGTTGGTCTGAATTATATGCCTAACTTATCTTGTACCCACAATCTATAATCATCGATTCATATAGTGAAATCTCTATATAAAATAAATCAATGGTACCGGAACAAATATTCATTGAGATCATGGAGTATATAATAAGATTATTTAAATTTATATACATATTCAGTGAATAAGAAAAGATGTAATTTATAAAAATCTGTTGAATTATATAGAGATTTCACTTTTATACGATTAGAATAAAATATACTAGGATATAATGCCATTAATAAACTATAACAGAATTTTAGAATATAACAACATACTACTTACGATTTTTAATCCATTATAGTAGAAATTATGCCTACTATAATTATTATTACAAAACAGAAAATGATTCTTCCAATAAAAATTGTATTAAAACTATTAAAAAATATTGAGTCAACAACAATTGCATAGAGGTCCCTGAATAGGTAAGGGTAATTTTTATTTTATAATATAATATATAATTACACAAAAATTATACACCTTTAAATGAAATGCATTAAATTTCAATCAATCAGTAAAATCAAATAAAAAATTATATTGGAATAAAACAATAATGAATTATATAAAAAATATATATGTACGTATAGATATAGGTATATAAAATGTTTTTAACTTATTTCACCTAAATTTTAAATCATAACGAACATGAAAAACAAATATTGTACTATCATAATTTAGTGATTTTTAAATGGCAATAAGTATCATTTGAAGAGCAGTTAGTTTTGTTTGAAAAACCCATCATTTGAATAGTTCAATACCCAAAAGTTGAAGAAGATAAATTTGATGGTTATTGATTCCTACCAGCCTCGTTTCAGCAACCTGCCTAACAAGATAGAAAAAAATAATCATTATGCATGAAAATCACAAAAAACCTCAGTATTAATTTTACTCGAGCTAATAATTATATTTAATAAATTTACAATTAATTTTAATATGAAGTTTATAATACTTACTTTAATACCGTCCTCTTGAGTTTTGATGAAAATTACCCCCACCTCCTACAAAACATTAAAATTTAATATTAAAAAACTGAACTTAAATACTGATTGTGCTGTTATTAAACCGACGTTAGTCGCGCGAGCATATTTTATGCCGTTAGTCGCGCTGCTATCTTTTTGACCGCACTATAATTTTATACACTAATATTATTTTCTACAATCTATTAATTTTATTAATATTTAATTATTATCAATACGCAAGAAAATTTACACAAAATTTGTTAGTTCTAAAAAAAAATATTTTATACTTATTTCATGTATTTTTACAAACAAAATGATTTTTTTTTGTGTACAATAAAAAAAAATATATATGAAATATAATAGAATATAATATTATACTTAAAAAGTTGATTTGGTTAATTTTTTTATTTATCTATACTGCTCCATAAATCTGATTGTTGGAAGAATTATGAATACGTTACTGTATGCTCTTTGCAAATTTAATTTTCGCAGGTTTTACATTGAGTTTTTGTTTTTCTATTTTTTTTTTTTCTGTCGCAATAATAGCATCTTCCTTCACAGGATGATCCAGCTTCATGTTGTAATATGTTTATAAAGTTTATAAAATGTAGATGTTGAAATGATATTGGTTCTCGGAATATGATGAGTCGCGGGTTGGTTTATAGGACCGCAATTAAATATATCATTGTTCAATATTATTTATTTTTGGAAATAATTGTTCAAATTCATAGTTTTTAATATATAATAATAGCTAATGAGTTTTTTAAAAGGTATAAAAAGTGTTAATTACATATGTTGAAGAATAAATTCTGCAAAAATCATAATATTTGAGTGCGGTCATTTTGACCATGATGCGACTAACAGCGGGTTAAGGGTTTATGGTTAAAACATTAAAATATATAAAAAGGAATTAAACTAAAAATATTACCTCGACCTGTGTGATATGGCACAGCCCTGTTGTTACCAAAATTTCCTCGCATTGGTCCTCCACCATATCCACTTTGACTTCCTCCCCAATTTCCTCCTACAAATGAAACATATGAATTAAATTTTAATAAAAAAATTAAATTAATTATAACCAATATAGATACCTCCATTACCCCAACCTCGTTGGTTAGATTGACTACCCCAAACATTATTCCAACCTTGAGGGCCACCTTGAGCCCAACCACCACTGCTTCCGCCACCATAACCCCCAAAACTATTACCTGAAATTAAAATAAATGAATATAAGTTAATTTATAATTATCAGTTTATTATAATTTTTAAGAACTAATAAAATCACACAGAATACTAATATATTTTAAAATTATAATTTAATTACTTATTATAAATATTAAATAAATTAATGTAATACACATACCTCCCCAGTTATTGTTATGGCCTCTCCAAGCTTGTCCTCTTCCACTACCAATACCACGACCACCTCTATGACCTCTAGCTGCTGAAGCTACATCTTTACTCACAGCTTTCTTAACTTCTAATTTATTACCACAAACTTCATGGCTTTTAATCACTATAAATGAATTTTGTTAAATAATTTTTAAAACAAAATTATGATATAATACTTACACACAGCTTTATCAACTGCATCTGAATCATCAAATTCAATGAATCCAAAACCTTTACGCTGTCCAGTTTCTTTGTCGGTTACAATTTGTAAGTTAAGTATATTACCATACTGACCAAAATATTCTCGTAGTTCTTCCTCTGTTTGTTCTTTAATTCCAGAAACAAACATTTTTTTTACAGTCCATGCTATATCAGGTTTATCTATATCCTATAATTAAATATACAATTTATAAAGTACAGTGAATTATAAAATAAATAAATTTTGATTTGAATTATTTGAATGTACACAGTCGATTAATTAAATGCTTACATCACGGGGCACAGCACGTTTTGTTTCTACTTCACGGCCATCAATTTTATGTGGTCTATTTGCCATAGCATCATCAACCATGGATGATTTTGAGTATGTAATAAAACCAAAACCTCGTGATCTAAATGATAAATATTCAAATTTTATTAAAATAAACAGAAAGGATAACTTTACAGTTATACAATGGAGCATTTAAATGTATAAGATTGACTTTGTATAATCAGAATCTTTGCTGGAAAAGATCTTGTAATCTAGCGAAAAATAATTTTACTTTTTGAAAAACTAAGAAATCTGCTTAAATATTCGATAGATCTTTTATGATTCTATTTTGATAAAAATTGTACTCAACTGTTCCATAAAGAATTAATAAAATCTTAAACAAATTAGTAATTACTTAAATACTTAGTTATAAATTATTTAAGTTTCAAAAGAGACAAGAAAAAAATCATTATTATTTTAAAATACGATCAAATGTAATACAATGATATTTATCAATCTGCAAAAATTTTCATACTTATATAGGAAAATCTAAATTTTACAAATATGTTAAATTAACTCATTTAATAATAAAAAAAATTCAGTATAAATATGAATAAATATTTTTTATGGTAATGTATCAAATATTTATTCAATATAAATATATAATAATACTCAAATTAATAGTATCAATAATAATTTTTATATAATTATTCTAACCTTTTAGTCACCGGATCTTTCATAACAACTACATCAACAATTTCACCCCATTTTTCAAAAAATTCTTTTAACGAATCATTTGTAGTTGTATAATTAAGTCCGCCTATGAATAATTTTCTGAACTGTTCTAGTTCTTCAGTAGTATTTTCACCCTATTAAAAATATGGTTAAAAAATCAAATAAAAATATTATATACAAAAGCAATATACCAAAATTATATTCTTACCGATACACTCATTTTGTTAGATATCAAGAAATTTCAATAAGAAATGTAAAATATTGTGAGTACTGTGACAGTTAAGACAGGAAGACTCCAAATAATAACAAGTGTTATACAATGTTAGTTATTATCAAACATTAATAATACAAATATAATAACAATTAATTAGTTCTGGGTTGAAATTGTTTATACAACGTATACCCGAAGAAAATTACTATAGCATTAATAGGCTACGAAATTACCAAGAAAAAACGAAACGAAGACTTCAAACCGCACTAAGTACATAGTATTATCAGGAAGCAAGATATAAATCCATACAGGTTGCCCGACGGGCGTAGAATTGTGATAAGATGACCGCCGACGCTGAGGCAGACAGTGACGCCTATAACTTACAACAAACCAAAATAGTTCCAAGCCGATGAAACTATAATCAGTGTGACCACAGAATAATAATAATTGTTACCCAATGTACGATAAATTTAAAATTAATATATAAATTTAGGATCTAATAAAGTTGATTTTGAGACAATTTTATCTTTTTCTAGAGATCCTAACCGCCTCGCGATGATAGCTACTAAACTATTTTTTAGTAAATACCGGCATCAGTTTCTGGTCTTAAATTTCTAACCGTATGTTGAAGTCCTCTTATAAGTGGTATTATTAAAGATAAAGTTGGGTATTTTTCTCCGGATAATTCAGTCGTCTTATATTCGAATGGTTTTAAAATTGGAGCACAATCTGTTATCAAATCCCATTCGTTTGCAGTTAAGCGATTTGGAGCTCGTGGAAGTGATGACATTGCAGCAGATAAAGGATTTTTAATTTGGATGAACCTTTCTATCATAGTTAAAATTATACTTGCAAAATCAAAATGGTCAGTTACCAGAGTATAATCATAAGTGTGTCCACGAGGGGTGCCGATTGTGCCAGGGCATTCTTCGAAATATTGTAAATGGGGCCTCTAAAATTTAAGTCTAAGAGTAAGATATTCGTATTTAACTATATTGTTTAAATTAAATGTAATTTATTCTAAAATGTTTATTAAAAAATAAATTATATTTCGTAAACAAACTAAATTTTCGTGTAAAAACTAAATAAAATAATATAAAAGCTGAAATTGACTATAAAAACACAAATCAAAATAATTATAGCTATCTAATAAATATAATACAATATATAATAATAATAATATAATAAATGTACTAGATTAAAGAAATGCATATTAATTGGGACTAATTAACACAATCTTGAATAAAAAAATTTATTTATGTTTATTTAGCTATTTATAAATTATAATTTTTTAAATATACTTATACGTTTTGTTAAGATAAGGCCCAAAAGTATATTAGACACCTCTGAAATACAGTTATCCACATGCCTATAAGTATAATATACTAGAATGAAAAAGGTGATCTTGTGAAATTGTGTCCGGCAATTTCCAATAATTCATTTAAGAATAAGGTTTATAAAACTTAAGTAAATTTTTCATAAATTACAAAAATAATTGTTTTCACAATTTTCTTCAATTTTTTGTTTTTTTTTAAATTGTACTAAGATAATATGCAATCTGTTCAATGTATTGGTACAATAAGCTTATGCGTGCGATATAAAGATAAAAATAAAACAACAAACAAAACAAATATATTTTTTTAATTTTTTTTCTTTTAAATATTTTTTAATTCTTAAAAATATTTTTTTTTTTAATATTTCATAATGTAGGTTTAAAAAGGGTAAGAAAAGAGTTAATATTTTTACATGGTGAAACTATCTGCTCGATAGACATCTACAGGAGCGAATTGGCCTATCGGGAAATCGGGAATCTTCCCGATGGGCCGGTCCTTGTTTGGGCTGCTTTAGATTATTATAGATTATTATATGTAATTACCAAAAAAAAGTTTTATTTTGTAAAATAAATAAAAATCGTTAAACAAATAAAAATAAAATTAAAGATGTATTAAGATCAAAATTCAGTTCAAGTTTTAACTGGTTAATTATGTGACTTACCCAAAACTATTATAGCTTTAATTATAGAAAAGTTATTGTAGATTTTACTAATTTAGGGGTGAAACTAAACAAATTTTGAAATTAATGCATAATAAAGCATTTTTTTGGGATGGGGAGGAGTAAAATAGTTTAATATGCGGTTCATGGGCCGGTTTGTTTCATATTTCCTGGGCCGAAAATAATTGCCAATCCGCCCCTGGACGTCTGCATAGACTATCTCCGGTAACTGGCAAACCCGCTATTTCAAAAGTTGACAAATCGACTACTGATCAGCGATATTGCAAAAATAGTTCCCTAACTGTTAAGTTAAAACTGCTTGAACTTGAATCTTTAAACTAATAATGAAACTTTTGAAGAAAATTATAAGTGTTCACTTAAAACTCCGTTGATGATGTGACAAATAATTCGTAGGAACTATTATTAGTTAAAAAATTAAATTTTATAACGTCATAGCAACGCGTTATTGTTAATAGCCAATAGAATGTATAGTGCAAATATAGTATGTAGTATAATTACTATATGTAGTCGTATTTTTACTTTTTAACATGTTTATATATGTCAGTGTCGCACGTTCTTAAAATTGACAATTTAATTATATATATATATATATATATATATATATATATATATATATATATATATATAATAATAATAATATTTTATATTGTATAATAAGTAGTTCTATAAATTTTATTCGTGTATACACTGTATTACGAAACATGTAATTTATGTTTTCCATAAGTAAAATTAGGTCCTTCTAGGCTTTAATGAAACAAATCCGACTGGTGTTTTCGTAGAGGGGGAGTTGAGACATCCCCTCCAAGACCCCCTTTCGGGACGGCCCTGGTTATCATAACTTACAAAATAAACATTATAAATTATTAAATGGTAACTACTTATTATTCACTAACTTTTAAAATATTAATACTACCGACTTCTTGACAGTACCCACTATCCAATCATCACCAGTCACAATACACCTAGGATCTTTCTTATCAAGTCTTAATCAATAATCAATCTTGCATTAATATTTATTAACTATTTTAATTACACGACACTAGTATCAATAGGCAGCGCCGTGGAGAGAGAAACCCGTGCCCGAGAGGTATATCTTAAGGGCACCATTATTTTTGACTGCCTAAATTACATTTGTCAGGTAACTGAGTAAAATAGTATGAATATAAATGGTGTGGAATAAATCATTTAAAAAAAACTACTCAAAAATATTATAAATCAATTATTTACAGACATTTTTTAATTTTTATTATATAAATATTTTCTTATTTTTAATGAATTTGTATTTATCTTATGTTTAACGTAATATAATATAAAGTTATTTCAAATTAGCTTTCCTTGCTTTTTAAGATGCAAATGAGTCAATGACTATTATAAAATTAATCTGACCTGCTAACGCTGATTCTAAGCAAAGAGTTGTTAATGCGGAAACTCTTGTCTGTGTAAAACAGGACCGATAAAAGTTTTTTATTCTTAAAAGCATTCTAAAGGATTGCTCAGCACTATTGAATAATATTATTTTAAAGCAAATGGTATCTTTCAATAACCTCCTATCTAATATTTCATATGAATGGTGTTATTTATATTTATAGTTAAAGACCTTAAAGTTTATAGACGTTTACCATTTATTTTACTATGATATAAAGCCGCGTCCAGACTAAACGACCAAGGGTACCGAAGGCACAACCTTATTCGGTGATGTTGGTCTAGATGTTGACAGCGCGATCGAACAAACGACAACGGCGAATGTGCCTTCGCTCGGGGAGCAGTACATCAAAGGAATTTGTTATCAGTTTAGATACGATTTATTGATATTTTGGTTTCGTCAATATGTGGTCCGATCGGATGTATAAAATAAATTGTGTGCGTTCGCAGTTTTAACCAGCGAAGGCTTCCAAACGCGGATTAACAACGAATTCGGAATGAGTTTAGACAGCCAATGTTCTTACATCTAAACACAGCCAACGCCGAACGTGGATACATAGGCGTTCGGTTGCTTTGGTCGTGTAGGCCTATTCTATTCTACTAAGGACGCAGCTTAATGCGTCTGTCAACTATTGACAATTATCATTATATGGTTTATACACCATATGGGCGTCGATAAAATTGTAACCATCTACAGATTTTTGAATAGATTAGATTAATGGATTTGTAATTGGAAAATATACTATCAGAATAGTTGGAATTTAATTATTATTATTATTTATATTAGGAAACAATTGCCGGCAAAAAAAAACTATGTACTCATACATACATTTTTACGAAGATTTATGAACAATCAGCAGTAGTCGACCACGGACTTGACTATTATTATTGATTATATAATAGTAATATATAATCAACGCTATTACTTATGAAATAATAAACCGTAGTCTGCAGCGCCATTCAAGTTTGGGAACCACTGATCTATCATATTGTTGTGTCATCAGTTCAAACGTTTTGACGTCAGATGTGTATTGTGATGTTTCAAATAACTACTCAATTTAAGTTAAAAACTTTTATTTATTGTGAATACTCAAAGTACAAAACATTTAATTATTTAGAAAAGGTTCATTTTACTCTAGGTTTGTTTCATACCCCTTTACATACACCCCGTCCTTGTATATTATTATGGGGTTTTCAAGTGACATTTTCTATTCCGGACAAACTACTCGTAATTTAGTTGCTTTTTATCAGGGATGGCAAATCCAATTCTTACTAATATATATCATAAAATATATAATATTATAGTACCTATAATATAATATAAATAATGAACAAAGCAATATTATTATGTATCTAAACTAACCTTTTTATACTAATACATTAATTAAATAATCAAGTTATAACAAATTATATTTTTAATATTTTTTTCATGCTCTATAAAAAAAAAAAGGTAATTTTGGGCATGCAGTGTTCAAAAGGTTTGCCTCCCTGCTCTATACTATATATGTTCAGTATACCAGTCCGCTTAAATACATTTTAATTAATTTGATACTTATTATTATACTTAAATAGTTAGCTTCGAGAATTCGAGAATATAGAAATCACATAGCCAAATTTTTATTTGTTCATCATAAATTTGTAGTAAAAGCTATTTTAACATGTGATAATAGTTTTAATGTTCATTGCGTGGTCCCTCAGTATGATGTTAATAAGGACCTACATTTATGTATGTCCATAACAGTATATCCAAATGTATCAAGATTAATTTAATGCTAAAAGAAAAAAAAAATTGAAAAATTGTTTTTTTTTTTTTTATTTAAATAAAAACAAAACAAAATGTCATCAATGCATTTTTAATATACCATTCATGGTTTCTTCTATCTTCATGAATGTTCACATTAGGTTTGCAACCATAACTGGTAAATTCACTGTTCAGTATTATTTCAAGCTTCTCAAATTTAAAGAGCTTGAGGCCTCGAGTTCTTCTGTGATGTGACGCTTAGGTTAGGTTGTCACCTTAATATGAAAATGATCGTGATTCAAAGTAGTCTTTTTCTTTTTCACTATTGCTAGACAAATAATTTAAAATTATTTATAATGAAAAAATAAAATTAATACATTTATTCTACAATAAATATCATGAAATATTATTGTTATGAAGAATATAGATTATGTCGGTAAATTATTTCATTTATTGATAATATATATAATGCTTCATAAATAAGTTTTTAGAATTTTATGAGACATTTCTAAAAATCTGTTAAATAGTAGTTTGGGAGTTCATTTAAACTTTTATGTCCAGTAGTTTAAGATAACAAAGTATTTCAATAAAAAGTTTTGGAAGATTTGATATTTCTCAAACTTATAATTACATATTTATTTATTAAATATAGATTTATACACCTGAATTAAAAGTTGCACAACTCAACTCTTTTCAATCAATATATAATTAAGAGATGGAAGTAACTTGAGAAAACTATATTCATAACAAAATAGCAGCTACCTGAATACATTGGTTTACCAAATATTTTAGTTTTTAATTATAATGCATATTTGTTGTCTAAAAAATCTTTGCAAATATTTATCACTAGAATTTAGTTTGCAGGGTACAAAACATATATAAATTGTAACAATAGTATATTTTAAATGCTATGGGAAAATTTAACTAAATTAAATTCTGAATTTGAGCAAAATTTAACTTAACACATTTCAATGAAAAATTCATAATTGATTCCTTACTTCTCATGTATTCATCATACATATAAAAGGAGCATACACGATGAATGCACTTCACACTGATTTTTCATGATATTCAATTGTTGATCAACCTGATAAAAAAAAAAAAGCATATTTTTAAAGGTAATAAAAAACAGTAATTCTATAAATAAATTTGAGAATTTCCTTAGATCCCCTATTATGCAACAAATTTTGGAGGATTCAGGTTGACTTAAGTTATATCAACGACTTTAAACATATACTTTATATTAATTAATTACTACCTAAATTAAGTATCTTATGAGATTTATATTTGTGAGGCGAAATAATGCCAAAATTTGTTGCTAAGTATGAATCCATTCTGGTAAGAAAAATAAGCATATATAATAACCCTACAGGAAAATCAAACAGTTTACCTTTAGTGTATGGATGACCTACCTACGATTCACAATCGAGGTTTGCTGCCCTAAATTGAATCACCTATGTGGATGATGAAAGCTTTATATGCATTTTCCGACAGCATAAGCCCTAAGCATAAGGCTAACATTCCTATGGACCATATTTAATAAACCTACACTTAACAAATTAAAATTCAATTTCTATTTTCAATAACTTGCACATAAAAATATGTTAATAATTTAAACTCTATTGGATATTAATAGTATTCAATTATTGTGATGAAATGCTTACCAAAAAAATAAGTATAAAATACAAGAATTAACAGTTATAATGGTGGTGACTAAATTTAACTATTTAACTAACAGAATAAAGGCAACATTTGCAACATAAAAAAAAAATTAACAGTAAAATATGATTTTTTTTTTTTTAGTTGATGCAATAGTATAAATTTTGTTTCATAATTTCAATGTATGAATAGTATGAATAAACTTAAAAATAGTTTTTCTTTTTATTGTCTTAACTATATTAACAATTATCTTATCAAAATTAAAATTACAGAATTATAAAATTCACATAACAAAATAATATGTTCTGGTATTTATAAAAGTCATTACTATCTAGTAACTTAAACTAAACTTTAAAATACTTTTTGTTATTATTCAAATTGCTATGCAACTCAAAACTACTTTGAATTTTCATATTTATACCAACCAAATCCATTTGTTACTTAACGATAAAATTATGAAATATCCCTAGAAGACGAAAAAAATGTCAAGGATACCATAAGAAAATATATACTATTTATATATTATAAATATCCATACAGATACACAAATAATTTATTGACTAATAAGATATTTAAAATGCAACACCTTACCTATAAAAAAGAAATTAGAAATAATATCTTTGTATAATTTTTGTTGGGTTTTTCGTTACACAATGTATCTAGACTAAAAACAAATTTAACATTTGTTTTCAATAACTATTAAACATTTTTTTTTTAATACTGTTAAAAAACCAAATACTATTTAAATAAAATCAGAAATATATTTATTAATATTTGTATTTTTACCACACAAGAAGCATATTTAACACCAATTACATACACTGATATAATAAAAGTTTAATGTTGATACATAAAATTAATAAATTAGTGTTACCCAATTTAATTCTATACAAATGCCTAAATAAGATGTATAAACATAATTTAATTAGTTTTTATATAGTTTATTATAATAAGTATTATTATTATTAACATTACTATTGCAAGAAAAATTTGAAAGAACAATAGTCTTGAATTCAAAACAATTTGGGAAAAAATAAAAACTTATAATCTTTAATTCAATTGTATATGATGCAAAAGTAGAATGAATAATATACATTAATATTTTAACTTATAGTAATGAAAATATGTATAATATTAATTATTAAGTAACCTAAATCCTAATTAACTGTCTTAATATAAAATTGTGAACACAATTTCCTCACACAAAATTGATGAAAAGACGTCAAATACTTAGGTAAAGCTTCAAATAAAAATACAAAAGAAAAAATATAGTTGAGAAATATAAAAAGTATATTACCAATACAAAACACGTCATTGTACTTATTAGATAATTAAATAAACTGAATGTGCAGTAGACGAGGATGAGAATGTTTTTCAAATGACTGGTTCTTGTGTCATTAATACCCAACTCATGAGTGGTTTAAAATTATACATAGAAATAACCGGTATGGGTTTCCTATTTTTGTTTTTACTGCCTAACAGACTGCCTCCTCGGATCCTGCCTAACAATTTTCAAAAATAAAAAAAAAAAAAAAACCATTTTTAATTAAAATCCTAAAATTATTTCAATATATTATTGTTATATATCAGAAATTATATTGGGATGCAATATCTATATTTATGATAAAATATTAACTTTGAATACCTTTAAGGTGAGAAAGTTTTTAATATCGCCGACCAGGATTTTGACCATAGCCACCAGCATTACCAGTATTAACATTACCAGCTCCTAAATCATAAATTGATTAGTTAATTAATGAAAACAATAAATATTTAATCAAAAAAAAAACAAATTAAATAACTATAGTTATGTAATAAATACAACTACCTGGGTTTCCATAAGGTGTAGAACGGTTGTTAGAGGTATAGTTTGACCTCATTGGGCCACCGCCACCACCATAACTTTGATTAGGACCTCCCCAATTGTTACCTATAATATAAATATTGAATTAAATAGAAATTAAAACAAAACTAACATAACAGATTGTTCTGTATTAAAACATCTCAAACCCTTACTTGGTTGTTGTGAATTTCCCCAACCATCTCCACCGCCACCTCCTTGATTGCCCCAGGCTGGATTATTGTTGCCCCAACTTTGAGGAGCACCACCTCCTTGCCATGCTCCACCAGAGTTAGAATTGTATCCACCTGCGTTGCCACCATACCCTCCTCCACCAGATCCATAACCTCCACCCATTCCAGAATTTCCATAACCACCACCGCCATTTGATCCTTAAAAACAAAATTATATAATTTTATTAATAACATTTTAAAACAATTAATATTATTTTTATTTCAGTCCATAAGCTATTATATAATTTTAAAATTACAATTCCAAATATATATGTACGTGACAAAATAAATTATAAACGTTACAAATTATTAAAATTCATTAAGTAACATCACTATGTTTTGATTAGAAAATTTAAAGATATTTGTAAATGAATCAGTAAATATAACATAAATAGCAATAGAATTTATAAATTATAATCAATACAATTTGGATACCTTATAAATAAAATTTATGAAAATAAACTGTAGGTTAATAAAAATTATAATTACTATTATGGTGTCCACCACCCCACTGATCGTTTCTAGGATTGGCACCCCAGTTATTCCTGTTGCCACTTCCTCCACCACCACGACCACCTCGTCCTCCACGGCCACCGCCACCACCATCACTACGGCTAATAGCTTTCTTCACATCTAATTTTCCTCCAGCAACTTGATGACTTTTAATCACTAAATAAATACAATACAATAATGTAAAATAATTCAAATTTAAATAGTAAAGTTACTTACAAACAGCTTTGTCAACAGAATCTGTATCATCATATTCAATGAAACCAAAGCCTTTTTTTTGGCCAGAATCTTTATCAGTTACTATAGTAACATTAGTGATATTTCCAAACTTGCCAAAATAATCAAGAAGATCAGATTCTGATTGTTCTTTAATACCAGATACAAACATTTTTTTGACAGTAGCAGCAATATCAGGTTTATCAATATCCTAAAATAAAAATTTAATTTTTAATTTGAGATATTATTATAGAAATATTCTGTAAGTAATATCTTCATACATCACGTGGAACAGCACGTTTGGTTTCCACTTCACGACCATCAATTTTATGAGGTCTATTTGACATGGCTTGGTCCACCATTGACGACTGTGAATAAGTAATAAATCCAAATCCTCGAGATCTATAAATAATTAACAATTAAATATATAGTTATTGTTAAAAATACATAAGTAACAACTATATAACAATAAAAACTCAGGATAAGATAGTGAAATATTGACACTGTTAGATGGGGGATGGCACTTTTATAGGCCATCTTATAATCACGAGAGCCACAAAATTATATCTGCTGTTAATTGTAATTATTCCACGCTTTCAGTATTCAAACAACACTCATCACAAATTATTATATTACAAACGAATACCTTTTAGTTTGAGGGTCTTTCATGACAACAACATCCACTATTTCACCCCACTGCTCGAAAAAATCTTTAAGGGAGTCATTAGTTGTGGTATAGTTCAAACCACCAATGAATAACTTTCTGTACTGTTCTGGTTCCTAGAACAGAAAAAACCAAGTTATAGTTGACACACGCGAACGTTTTTATATTAACATATAATACAAACATCACCATTGTTTGTCGACAAATAATATACTAATTTACGTTTAGCACGTTACACTTACGTCTGATCCCATGGCTGATGAAGTAATTCGTAACACGAACAAAAGCAAAAACAGTAATACAAATTAACGTGTAGTTTACTTAAAGTAACTAATATAAAACGAATAAATGTGATGAAAAATTAATTAATAATAGTTAAAGATTCACGAACACAACACAAAAGTCAAGAAACTATTCAGTAAATAAGTCAATAATACGGTCCCAGGACGAAAAGTGTTGTTCCCCGTCGGCATTACAAGATGGTGGTCGGTATGCAGTCGTCGAGACTCGATCGATATATGACGCGGACGCTTATCACAGTGTAGGCAACATAAATTAAATAATATAATTTCTCTTTTTATAATTATTCTGAATCAAATATAACGGGACTATAATGTCTTCCAAAGATGTCTTCTATAAAATTGACAAACTAGCGGGCAAAGAAAATAGTTCAATACGCATGAATATAAATTAATTTTTAGATTGAATTGAAAAATAATTGATTTGTAATTTTATTTTAAATTGTACAGAGGGTTCAGCACATAGAAAAAGTATTTGAAGTAAAGTATTAGATTTGGTTGAGCAAAATAAAATCACATTCAAAATTCATTTTAGAACAAGGGCGTATTTGAGTTGAGATCATGGGGGGTGGGGCAAAACTAATTTTTCTTCAATACAAACTTAAAAATAATATATAGTTTATGTTCCTGTTTGGTATAATGATAGACTAGTAATTTAGATTCTTAATTATTTATACATTACATTTTTTAAATAAATCAATGTATTATATTCAAGAAAAATACGAGCCATGGGGGGAGGGCGAATAACGCCCCCTCCTCAAATACGCCCTTGTTTCAGAGACACAACAGCCTTTATGCAAATACGCTTAATGATTTAGATCAGTGGTTTTCAACCGGTGGGTCGCGTAAGTTTTAAGATTGAGTCACGACACCTCTGTTTAATCACTAAGTTGAGGAGTGTACACAATATACCTTAATATGCACCGACCTATACATGTTATCCAACATAGTAAAAGTATTTGGCGAAAGCCAAACTCTAAAAATTATTACATTCTTAAGTATCACAAATATTATTAGTAAATCTTAATTTTAAACCTAACTTTACCTAAAACATTTTTTTTTGGTTTTCATGGCTAACGAATTTTACATGGGTTGCAAAAAATATATGATAAGAAAAATGGGTCGCGAGTTGAAAAGGTTGAAAACCAATAATTTAGATGAACTTCAATTAATTTTATTTGTTCAAAATTAGTAAGATCTGGAAAAATTCTATAGCTTATAAATTATTTCACCAACATTATAAAAACGATTATACTTAAAGATTTGATATTGGAACATTTTGTACTTGTAAAACCATATTTTACCTATAAATTATAATTTTATAAACATTTTTGAGATTATGTTGTAATTATAACATTCATTTGAGAATTTTATTAATAGCAATAATTTTTATATTAAATATAATACTAAAATATCAATGAAATTCATTTATACATTATTTTTAACATAATAATTTGCAATTATTTGTTACTAAATGATTATAAATAAAAATATTGGGTCATAAGTATCAATAAAGTTAAAATTATTAATACATTTATAATCAAGCTTAATTCCCAGTACTTTTAGAAATATATCAAAAATCTCAATTAAAAATATATAAACTTCATTATTAAACTGTCTTTTTAATATTTTTTTTTTTTTTTTTTTGGGCAAATTGCAAATTGTCAAATTTAGATTCCAATGTAGCATCTGTTACTTTTTTCCTTAGTCCTTTTCAGCCTTTTTTTTTACTTTTATTATTAAAAATAAATGTAAATTTGATAAATTGTACTTCTAATAATAAATATCTTTCATAAGTTGTAACTAACAACTCAAAGTTAGTGTGTAACATTTTATTTTATACATTTTTAATTATTAACAATATGTTAATAACAAATATTAATACTAACACAAATTGTACATAAAATGTAATAATTTTAAAGAATTATGCATTGTTTAATTTTATAATTTATTATTTTCAGCCCAAGATAAGAAGTATTCAATTTTTTTCAATAATAAACGTGTTTTTTTAATATCAACATGGATGGAATAACTAGCTTTTGCATCTGGAAATTTTCTATTAAACTCCCCTTGTTCTGTATTTTCTGGAAAATAAAATAAAAATATAAAATAAAATAATTCATTTAAACTATTTTCAACATACTTGATAAATTATTTTTATTTTTGTTTTTATACTCAGTCATTAAACTATGTATATCAGATAAAGCTAATAGTATGTTGTAATTAGAGTTGGAATCCAAATCATTATTAAAAATTGTTTCCAAATCATATTTTATTAGCCTAAAACTTTCTTGAAAACCTTTGAACATTTCTTGCTAAAACATGTAATAAATAAATTATGAGTTATTTCAATGGCGTTAGTATTCTCAGATAATAAATAAATATAATAATGTTAATTACCTCTTGAATACAAATTTCAACAGATTTAACAGCTGTATCATATGAATCAAAATTCTGGTTAGCAGATAGATTTGTTGACAAATTATACATGCCATTAATAAATTCTGACAAATAAGATTTATGTTTACCATTATAGTATCGTATCAAAAACACATATGCAGTTATTATGTTAACTAAATTCCATTGAATACATACTGATGGTTGCTTTTTCTAAAAAAAAAAAAAAAAAAATGGAGTTTTAATTAACACATAGATTTATTATAGAAACATACTTTTTTACAACCAAATTATAGTTTTTAATGCACATATTATGTAGTATAATAGTTTAAGTTTTTTGTATCTCTTGAAAAAAAAAAATGTTCAAAGTACTATCTGTGTCAATAGGCATAAATAAGAACAGGTAGACTTAGCCTATAACCACAACAAAATCTAATGATTCCACTATAAAATATATTGTACATAGTAAAATATATTCCAATAAAAAAAATTTTAATTTATTTACTTTGCAAAATTTATTTTGACAAATAAACATGTCTGTTTGTAATTGGATTATTTAAAAAATTTCTATTAGAAATATTACTAAATTTGTTTTGTAAAAATGTCTTAATTATTAATTTATAATTAAAATAAATCCTCACAAAGTAAATAAATTATTAAGATAGAATACATTTTTTTTTTTAATTTAGTATACTTAGCAATTATTCATGATATCACATCTTTATAATGCTGAAGATGACCAGTTTTTTTTGACTTAACAATTTTTTACACGGAGTTCGATGAAGTGTTTTTGTTGGGATATCAGTAGTTTTTTTAAAACATATTATTATGTACCAGCATGTAATATGATTTGCAGGTCTTCATGTTTTTATTTATTTATTTATTTGTTTATAATATTATTATATCATTATTATGTTTGTTTATTTAATGTTATATTCAATTTTTTCCATTATTATAATATAAGCATTTTTAAATTAATCTTAAAATTAATTTTTCGTTAATTTATTGTTGTTATGGCAGATTGGTTGATATCGTTTTTTCGAATTTTCTCTAATATGTTTGCATACGAGTATATAGGATCATTTTTTTGTCTCATATTCTCTGTTAATTCATCATATGTAAACAATTTTTCCCACAAATGTATAGTTTCTAACGCATTTATATATTTATCATATTTTTTGACCTGCATAGGAAGAAATGGAGACAACTCATTTACTTACAAGTGGTAATTGAACTAAAACTTTATATTGTATCTGTTTAAAATGGTTCTGTATACTTGGAATGATAAAACTGCCTAATATAAATTTAAGAAAATTACAGTTTAGTTCATTAGTAGCTGGAATACTAGGCCGTTTGGTGAATATTCTTATTTATTATTTCTTCTAGATTTTTTAATGTCTTTTGATAAATAACTACATTTTGTTTTCTGTATGGAAGAACCCACTTCAAAATTCTATCAATATTAGTTCTAGATTTATAAAGTAGCATATTTAATTTACTCCTAAGTTTATTTTATTAAATTATTTTATCATAAGTTTAATTTATTTTTCCATTTTTCTATGCTTCCATAAATGGAAATAGTTTTTTTTCGATTTTTTACACATTTTTTTTTTTTGGTTATAATGATAGAATTATTTTTTGGACTTTCAACCTTACATGATATTATTATAGTATTTGTATTTTTTTTTTCAAACAGTTCTTTGTTTTCGTATTTTATTTTTATAAGCTTTACAAACCATTTTAGAAATTTTAGTAAACAATTTAGTTAATAATGATTAATATTAATTGTTGACGATCCACAAGGCCCACTACAACAATGGAATACAACAATTACTCGAGGTTTCATATAATATGGCGCGACGGCGAATACACGCATGAACAATGAACGTACACATTAATACACTGATTACTGAATCAAATCAGAAGTATACTTATATATTGTATATATAAAAGTTGTATAATATACAAGTACAGAATGTCACTAGAAATACGAATACGATAAATTAATTCGCAGGAAACCTATATAGCAATGGTGGAAACTAGGTATATCGGTAAAACGATTTGGGGTCTATTACCGGAATACCGTACACTAGTATACCGTCTATTTTTTAAAAACGGTATACCGATAATATCGAAAATATCGAATTACCAAAGTATCGAAAATATTGATACACCGAAATTGGTCATTTAGTATTTTAATCTATTTTTAAATTGTACAAAATTTTCAGTAAGAAATTACTATGGGCCTTGTATATTATATTAACACTTATATACTAAATAATAAATATATCTCAAATATCGATACGGGTAGGACCGTCGGGTCAGTATTATTTTGTAGTTTTAAGAAGTTAATTAAATAATATTAATCTTATAATATATTATTCTTTTTAATAATAAATTAAATCATAACTAAAATATATTATACAATCTAATACTGAAAATAGCGGAATATCTATAATATTGAAAATATCGAATATACCGAATCAAAATACCGGTATAACGATATTTTCGGTATACTGACTCAAACCGGTATAAAATATCATACCGAAATATCGAAGGGAAAAAAAATACCGTCACCCCTAGTGGAAACCGCTGCTCAGGGTACGACCGCAACGAAAACGTTTACGGCATAGAGGAGCTATACGATCACTGGCGCAGCTACGAGAATTGTTATAACTAAAACGGTCGAGGACAATATCTTTTTACATCAAAAATACTTCACTTTTTTGCTAATATATTTGGCAGTATTCAGCTATTTTTTTCAAAATTAACAAAGGTATAATCTGCACATCATGCCCGATCTATTGACACCACAAACGGACTAATCCGTCCATTCATTAGGTCTATAGCCTTGGCTAAAGAAAATGGGCAAATTTACACACCTTTAATGGGCAAACTTTGGCTCGTGTAATGTACTAACTATACTACGGTAGTGACCGCTTCGATTTTTTTTTTTTTTTACTTAGTTTCGCGCCACTACAGTCGCGCTGGATTATGAACAATTTTTCAGCTTTCTCCCAAGTCTCAAATACTATTTGCGCCCATGCCTGTGTCTAATTTCTAATCTAGAAAGTAACTTCATGAAACTTATGTTATAGATTTATAACTAAAAAGAAAAATGCTGTCTTTAGACCCAAACATGGTAAGTAACACAATATACACCCAATCATGATTGATAAAATAAGTATTGCACGACTAGAGACAATAACTCACATACACTCGGTAACACTGAGTAGTGTATATTGGTAATTTTATTATTCTTATTATTTATTATTAGGTATATTCATGTTATCGAATTTTTGAACACCTAATAATGAGGAACTCGAATGACAAAAATTTATGTAAGATTTATGAATAATTAAGTTATTACTTATTTATTGTTGGTATTTATTACTTTACAATATGTACAGAATCAATAAATTCCTGTTTGTTTAACTTAAATACAATTCAAGACACATCATACCACAATTAATAAGAATTACACAAAACACATTCCAATTCAATGTCATAGTTTCATACAGAGGATATCCATGTCATGTTTTTTTTTAATTTGGCCTTTATTGTATCTAAAATGACTTTCTATGCATGTTTGTGCATTATAGTCGCATGGTAATTTTTGAGTATATTTTTGTCAAGCCAATTACTAAGTATATATAGAAAGTATAATACAAGTAAATAAAATACACCGCCAATATTCAAATTAAGGCTCTTTTTATTCATGTATTTCTTGTCTTAACTCATCATGGTCAGGCATTCCTTATCTTACCAACCATGGTCAGGTCTACATTATGTTACCGATCATAGACGGTCGTGTAGATACAGCGAAAGAAAAAATATAATATTGGATAAATCAATTATTATTTTTTTTTTTCTCATAATCTAAAATAATGAAGTAATATATTTTTTATAAATTTTCACAAAAACTTAACTGTAAATATATTAAAACATTTTGTTTAATTATTACAAATAAATTAATTGACTATTTAATTTTTATTAATATTTTGCTATAAACTGAAAATTACTTACTGAAATAATTGAAAATGTTGGTATATTTTTTAATAAAGATGGAAACTTGCTTTCATTAATATTTTCTCCAACTTCAGTTACTAGCTGTTTTTCAATTCTAAAAAGAAATTCAGAATTTATAAAAAAATTATTTTTATTATAACTAAATGTTACTTACGGTAAACACCACCAAGGAGTATACGGAGGTAAAATTTTAGTGATATCCCCAGACTTAACAAGGTGTTCAAAGTCAGCTTTTTCAGAATCCGTTAAAGAACTCCAAACTTGCTCTGCATCATCTAGATTAATTCCATTCAACCGTTCATCAAGATTTGTAATTTCTTCATCATCTGAATCACTTTCTATGTAATATAATATGTTTAATTATATTTCCACATGCAGTTTATATACAACAGTAAATGCATTTTACATTCATACAACAAAAATCTAAAAATGCACTAAATGTAGTTAAATTTAATGATGATTGATTATATCAATTTACTACAAACAATAATAATATAATTAAATAACAAGCTATACTATTTACACGAATAAATTGAAATTTTTAAATTTATGAACAAAAATAGTATTGAAAAATTGTTTATAACAATGTTTATTGTTATATAGTTAAACAAGCATATTTCCTATTTAATTTATTTAGATTCATAAAGTTTCCTAAATAAATAATTACATTTTAAGAATTATCTATTATATATTATTTAAGAAATTATATATGCAGTTTAAACCTAATTTTTATTATTTTAAATTATATGATAATAAAGTAGAATACTAAATATTTACCTGAATCTTCATCATTTGTTCCATATACTCTTTTAAGAATATTAATCATTTCTTTTTTGCATGCATCATCTGAATCTTGAACATTAAGTTCTTCTTCAATACAATCTTTGTAAAATTGTTCAGTACACTCCAAATGAGTTGAAGACTTGTAACACAATAAGGAACAGTAGGGCGCTCCACATTTTGGACAAACATATTTACCTTGATTTTCTGTACAACTTTATAAAATACACACGGATAATAAACAACAATTGAAATAATCTAGAAAAATTAAATTAATTAATACTTACAACTTACAACATTTATCCATATTCATATTAAATAATAATCAATAATTAAAAAATAATTTTAGTTGCAATTATTAAAATAATATTTATATAGTTATCAACAAATAACTTTAGAGTCGTATCTACTATCAACTATCTTGAATCATTCCTCGTGGTGATAAAAATTTCTGTATTATCAATTATCAATAATCAGCATTAATGGATTGGTTATTGGCTATACCCCGGCTGTAGCACAAAATACATAAAAAATGATACCTACTACGACAATAGATTTAACGGTAATAAATACAAGAAGAGACAAGAATATATTGTTCGTGGCTATTCCTTTTATTTTATATTTGTGTTCAACAAATAAAAATTTAAAATAGTCACTACTTACTCACTACGTTACTCAGCAGTGGCATAAATAAGGGTTACATTTTATCTGTACAACTGGTTTTTTAGAGTCGTTAACAGATACTCGTGACTCTGAGCGACCCCCAGTTTACGCCACTGTTATTCAGATACACATAGACCTCATTTTAATAATAAATGATTACAATAAACTTTTTTGTCTAGACAACTAGTTCAAAAATTGAATCAATAACACGTTGTAATAATACTCATAAATTCTCTTGATAACCGTATAGTAATAGAATGAGATATGATACAATATTATACTCGTATAATAATTGTAAATTGGAATCCACAAAACAACAAACAAAAATAATTTCATAGTACTGTGATGTGGCGCTATCGCTTATAATATTATTATTATTATAGTCAATACAATTTTATGATGTGTACAAAATTAGTTTTTCGGTCGACTTTAAAAATATCAGGTCGCGGCTCTAAACCGATGCAGTCGCTGCGCGTGTTATCGCAATTTCGAGAACACATTAATTCTCATACGCGCATGCACAAGTCAACCACAAACGCATTTTTTTTTTACTTTATTTATATTTCCACAATCTGTTACATAGTTTGAACAATAAGTGAAATTGATGAAATAGATAACTATGGCGTGAAGGCAATTTTACAGTTAAAGATGAGAAAAAAAATAATTAAAAAAAAAGTGTTAAACAATGTGATAAGTGGAAATAGCAAAGGTGAATATAGAAAGAAGAACAAAAGGAGTTAGATTGGTTTAGACTAAAAGGTCCCTACACCACCGCCTTTTCAACCTTTTTTGTGGATTGCCGGGTATATTTATAGACGCAAGTTCTTTGATTAAAGGATTTTTGTGGTTTAGTAGGTTGAAATTAAAACGTTTGTAGAAGGTCTTAGCTACATCGTTAACAGGAGAGATGGTTAGGTCGTTATGTAATGTATGATTTGATACGTAGAAGGGTGCTTTGGTTATAGCGTGGAGGACTTAGGACTGGAAACGCTGGATACGGTTGACATTTGTAGGTTTTGCGGAGCCCTATAATTGGATTCCGTTCGTCCAAATTGGTTTTAAGTAGAGTTTATATATTAATAATTTAGTGGATAATTTTATATGATGAGAAGTAAGAAGAGAACGGAGAAGACGAAAACGATCGTTTAGGATTAAGAGCTTATTACGTATATGTGGAGCCCAGGTGAGACGTTGATCGATGGTGATGCCTAGGTAGCGAATGCATGGTGCAACAGCTAGAATTTGTTCATTAAGGATGATAGGTGGACATTTTTTCTTCCTAAGAGTGAAAGTACAATGTATGGATTTAGATTCATTAATTTTTACTCCCCATTCCTTATACCATTGTTCGAGGAGGGAGAGATGTTCTTGGATTTTGAGGGAGGCAGTGATTGGGTCGATATTGCTGGTTATTATTGCCTTATCATCGACAAAATCACCAACAAGGGAAGTGGGTATTGTTGGTTGGTCGTATATGAAAATGTTGAATAAAAGAGGAGCAGTGACTGCACCTTGAGGGACTCCTGCGTTGATTGGTTTCGGTGGGGAGGTGGATGATCCGTAACGTACCGAGAAGAAGCGATCCTCTAGGTAGGATTTCAGAATCAGGTAGTAGCTAGCTGGTAGAATGAGCTTCAATTTGAACAGTAGACCTGCGTGCCAGACGCGGTCAAACGCTTGGGAAACGTCAAGAAAAGCACCTGTACAGTATTGTTTTTCCTCTAAGGAGAAAGATATCTTGTCTACTATTCTGTGAATTTGATGGATGGTGGAATGTTTGCTACGAAAACCAAATTATGAGTCGGGTAATGCTTTTGTTTCTTTAACGATTTTAATAAGTCTTTTTAGAAGCATTTTTTCAAAAACTTTTGATAGTATTGGTAGCAAACTTATTGGTCTGTAGGATGATGGACAGTCTGGAGGTTTTTTTGGTTTCAGGATAAGTATAACAGAGGTATACTTCCATAGTAATGGGAAGTAGGATAATCTGAGCATCGAATTATATATGTAGGTCAAAAGTATGATAACTTTTTTGGGGAGCTGATTAAGTACTTCTGTTGTTATTAGGTCGTATCCGGGAGACTTTTTTCGGGGAAATTTCGAAATTGTATATTTTACCTTAGCTGGAGAGAAGTGTTTAGGAGGAAGGGACATTTGTAACGGTATGTCAAGAAATCGCTCAACTTCATTGATTTTTTCCGGTAGAAGGATGGTATTGTGTGGTTGGAATGTGTCAGCGAGGTGGTTTGCGAATATATTAGCTTTGTCCATGTCAGAGTGTACCCAATTGTCACTGGCGTCGCATAGGATAGCTGGAGGGTTATGCACGCGAAGAAGTTTTTTCGTTGCCTTCCAGAGAGAACCGTCTTTTGTCGTAAGTGATATTAAGTGTTTAGTAGAAGGTTCATTTCGATAATTTGCTAGGATGCGTTTGAGATTTTGCCCGAGTGCATTATAGTGGCATTTATCAGCCGGGTATTTAGTTTTTGCCATAAACAGCGAGTGCGACGTTTTTGTACTATAAGGGTACGTATATATAAAGGAAGAATTGCGGTGGGTGTGTGTGGTTTCGATGGTAGAGCTGATTCCCATGCTGAGGTTTGTATATTGGATGTTAAAAGATTCACAGCGTCATCAATGTCAGCTGTGGTTTTCAGCCGGACTTTTAAAGTAGTTTTTTGTAGGATTGATTTTTGAAAATTTTCCCAGTTGATTTGAGAATGTAACGGTGGTGCATTGTATTGGTTGGGCAAAGGCTGGCAGTCTATTGTGAGTAGAATGGGGGAATGATCTGAGCATGGAGCGTGGAGATTTATAATTGACGAGTGGAGCGTGCTAGGGATTTTTGTTATAAATATATCTAAAATATCCGGTCTCTTTCTAGGAGACGTTGGCCAATAGGTGGGGTTGGGAGGTGAGATGACTCGTAGGGTATTGTGAGTGATACTTTGTAAGAGTGAGTTTCCTCTCGGATTTGTGGTGCGGCATCCCCATTGAATATGTTTGGCATTTATATCGCCACCAACTATGAAATTATGACCAAGTGTATGAAAATAAAGATCGAATTGATTTGAATGTATGGCGTGTTTGGGAGGACAGTATATAGCTGCTATTGAGATGGGAATACTATTAATTGATATGGATACCGCGCAAGATTGGATGTAGTCTGTTTGAAAATTAGTAAGTTGGTGCGATGCAAGTGATGATCTAACATAAATAGCAGTATGTGCACCTGCATGTGCAGTTCCATCTGGATGGTTAGTTTGATATGAGCGGAAACCTGGTAGGTTGAGTGAGTAGTTGTTTGTAAAGTGCGTTTCAGATATTAATGCAACATCAATTCTTTTTTCTTGTAGAGTGATTAAGAATTCGTCTTTGTGATTTTTTAGGCCATTTGCGTTCCATGAGAGGATCGTGAGAGAGTTGTTGGTAAATGAGTTATATGTTGTGTTTGACATTTAAAAGATTGGTCATGACTGTTGTGAGGAGAGAGATAAGTGGGTTTATTATGCATTTGAAGTCTTCTAAAAATTTAGTTAGTACATTGTTATCAATGGTAGATGTTTGTTGGGTGTCGGAGAAGTTTGGCGGTGGTGTGTTACCTGTATTAGTAGCTGCCACTTCTGCGTATGAGTAATGTTGAGTTCTTGGAATTTGTGTCGATGGATGTGGTGTTGGCTGGTTGATGGACTGCGAATGGTGATTGGTTGGTGGTGGTTGTTGCTGCTGATTGTTATTTCTTGTGTTGTGAGGTTGGCGGCGACGCTGTTGAAGCTCTTTGTATATAATACAACCTTTGTAGCTTGCAGGGTGTTCGCCGTTGCAGAGCGCGCATTTTGCCGGCAATTCAGGTGATTTGGTACAGTTTGCGGTAGGATGAGTCCCACCACATTCGACACAGCGAGGAGAATTTGAACAGTAGCTCCTTGTGTGGCCGTAGGTCTGACAGTTTAGGCATTGGGGAATTTCGCGGCGCTTGTGAGGTTCTTCTACTTTGATTTTTGTATTTAGTAGGGAAGTAATATTAAATATTTCCTTACTTATAGTTTCGGGAGCAAGATCAATGAAAAATAATGGTAGTGTTTTTTTGGTTTTTTGGTGTTTTATATTAGTCACTTGCCTTACGGTAAAGCCGATCTCTTCTAGAGCAGAAGTGATTTCAGTGGGTTCGGTTGTATGATGAATATTTTTTATAACTGCTCTGAGTGATTTATCTGACTGAGGTTGGAAGGTATGGTATTCTGCTTTTTCGTCTTTTAGAAAGTGTATAAGTGTTCTGTAGTTATCAGGAGTGTCTACTTGTATTTTTAGATTCGTGATAGTTGATTTGCAAGTGAAGCTATCCTGCCCAATTAGATCGCCAATTGCATTTCTAAGATTAGAAAAGTTAAGTGTTCCTTTTACATATATTAATGGTGGTTGGTCTTTTTGGTTTGTTTGTGTGATTGCAGGTTCGTTTTGATTATTAGTGTCATCGGGTTCTTTTTCAGATAATACGGAGAATCGGTTTGGCGAGGAAAACAATTTTAATTTTTTCTCTTGGATATTGTTCGGGCTATTTGGTGAACAGGGGAGACTACGTTTCGAATGTTTTTGTTGTTGCTGCCATTCGGGGCTTGATAATGGAAGAGCGTTGTTAATCACTTGATTATTAACTATTTTAATTGGTTGTACCGTTTTAGCTTGTTTACTTTTAGGCGGATTAGATTGCATGGTGCGGTTATCTGGTTTGCAGTCCAAAGGTCACCGCGTTAACGGTGCCTGGAGTGACTGATATAGATAATTTTTTTTTCTCTCTTGTTATTATTAAGTAATTAATTAATTAAATACATTACTTTTCTTGATGTAGCGATGATTGAAGGTGCTAAAGTGGTTTGATAATATGAGTTGAAAGTTTGCTGCGACTTTATATTAAATTTGAAAAAAAATTAGATCGTAAACCGATAAAATTAACGAATAATGTATAAACATAGCTCGGGAATTATGAACTGCACGTATGCGCTGTACAGTTGCTCGAGCTGAACAACCACAAACGCATGAAACTATTTTTTTGTTCTTTTCAAATTGGTGAAAAGAGGTAAAAGCTAGAACAAAATTCGTCTAGTTCTGGTAATCCGATTATATATTTTTTAATATATTCTAATTTCTCAACTTTTCTTCTATGTTTTGTAGGAAACGGATTTTTGATTTTAGTTCAAGTTATTTAATAAAATGCATTTAAATTTTTATTTTTTTTTTAAATTTAGCATACAAGTTAATAAAAAATTAAGAAAAAATAATAAAATTGTGGTTCCTATAAAACATAGTAAAGAAGCTAAAAAATTTAAATATTCTTTCAAAATTCAAATCGGACAATTAGAACTAGGTGAATTTTGTTCCAGCTTATTGGTCTAAATGCATGAAAAATGTAGGCTGCTCCAGCCGCCAAAACGGTACTATTTTTTTTTTAATTTTGTTTAGCTAGCGGTTTCCAAACTGTTCTCCGCGGAGCCCTTAGGGTTTTGCATTTGTTTTTTAATGTACTCAGTTCGCTTTACCAAAGAAAATGTTAAAACGATATTTATTATTTAACTATTAATAACATCGGAGAGTGTCCGTCACAAATTCATTGTGGCTAAAGATTCGGTTAAAATGGTCAAAAAATATAAAATACCTATCCGACAAAAGACTGTCAAAATATGTATACCGAACAAGCACGCAACCTACTCAATAATAATGATTTAATGAATTAATATAATTTAAATTGTTAAATTGTAGTTTTCTAAAGTTTGCATAATGTCTAATTTAAAATATAAAATTAATAAGTATACAAAACAAAGTTATGTGAATAGATTTTTTAAATAGCATAACATGTTGAGAACCCTTGTGGAGTCAAAGTCCCACCACTAAGCTATCTGGCGCAGGTCAAATATAGGAGTGGAAGACACGGAACATATACTTCCGAAAGATGTTTTAAAAAAAAGCGATCGACAAAAGAGTTCCTTCTGTTTTTTAATTATTGTAGATTTTTGTAAATGAAATCAAAAATTGTGTTATATATTAGCTAAATATCTTTCTGTCTAATTCATACAATATACCTTTTACTTTCTAAACTATTTTTAATTGCGCTTCTTAATAATTCTCCTTTTGAGTTAATCGCTAACGCTGAATTAGTTAATTACTAATTAGTATATATCTATACTATTGTGAATTTAGTATATTCTAAATAATTATTATATATAATTAAATAATAAATGTGTTAAAAATATATTGATAGTTATAAACTTAAGAAATAATAAAAGATGGAAATAAAAAATGTATAATACAAATTTGAATTAATTTATACATGAATGTAAGCTTGAATTTATAAATTAGTTCACTATTATATAATAAAGAGTATTACTTAAAAAACTATAATGTTAAATACATAACAGGCTAATCTGTATATACATATATTTTATGATGTCATAATAGAAACCGGTATTTGATAAAATATGATTATAGAATTTAAAACATCATCGAACCACTCCAACCTAATTGTTAGTAGCAAACTAAGAACTATAGCGAGATATGTTGCGTATAGCTATTGAGCAAGCACTCAACGTTGGAATTAAGAGTTTTTAAATGTCAGACGTGTTAAAGAATTCATATATTTTTAGACTTAGTTACTGTTAAACTATAATTAAATACTTTTAATTTTTCATTAAGTCATCATGAGATCAATCATTTTAAGAAGCCAATTAAAGGTATGTAATGTAGATTATTATAAATCTTTGAAACTAAATAATATTTTGGTTAGGTTTTTATTGTATTCATCATAATTAAATTTCATTTAGAAAATGATGAATTTGATATTAAATAAATTGTTTTTAATAATATTCTTGATTTTTAATTTTATTTAAAATAAAACACCTTCATATTTATTCAAGTGTTTGACACACTATATAGTTTTTAATAATCAAGCCTTGTAGCTTCCAAGGACACCTATAAGTAGAAATTTAGAAGAGCGTATATATAAATTTATAGAAATACATGTTTGGTTCTATGTCAAATAACATAATGTTTGAATAATAAAATAGTATTAATATTAAAACACATGTTACGCTTATTTTTTTTATAATATTCTAAAGAATTTGTCTCCCTGGCTTCCCTGTGAATGCCCTTTGATTAATTTCATCAATGAAAGTTTTCAAAAATTCTGTAAATTACCCCTTAGGTTAATCCTAGTTAGTTAATAATTGTTAAATTGTTATTTAATTGTTAAACATACATTTCTATACAGTTTTGTTTCAAACAATTTTTTCGTGTACCTACTTATCCGGAAGACTTTTTTTCAATATAAATGCAATAACTAAATGTTATGTAACTAAATTATGTTATAGCTTTGAATAAAACAATACATATAAGTATAAATAAATAAACTCTAAAATATAATTCCCTGTTACATTAATAATAATTTGTGATAAAAATAATTTCAATATTTCTTTAAAAAAAAATTAAAAATAATATTCACTTTATTATCTGTATAAAATATAAATATATGGAATATATTATGTTAGGGAATAGTAACTAATGTTTATTAAACAATATCATTTAAACCGGATGTAAATAATATTCATTTTTTAGGCGGGATTGTTCATAAATGGTCTAAACAATTTAGTAAAATGCAGCAATTATAAATTGAGAAGAAATCAATCTTCAACTCATGGTCCATTATCTATTTTGAGCGAGGATGAACAATTTTTCAAGGAAACAGGTTTGATTTGGTTTTATTTTTAAAATGACCATATTAATTCATAATATAAAATTTAATTATTTATATTTATAACTTAGTAACAAATACCCAAAGGATGTAATGTAGATACTTAATATGCAGTATGTACAGATAGGCATTTTTTAAATTTTAAATGATAATATCTTAAGTTACATCATGGTGTATATCTTTATATTTCAAAAATATTTAAATTATTTAAATTATTCCATGTAAACAAAGGTATGTATACAAAATTAATATATTGTATATTCTTATTTATCATATTTTTGAATTTGTATTATAGATTATTATAATATAATGCATAATATATGTTACTTAATAGCTAACTTTTATAGCTAAACATTGATTTATTCGATATTAATAATAACTCACTTTGTATAATTTGGAAAAATATGCAAAAGTAACATATATTTTACAAATCTATATTATTTGAATTATATTGATTTTAGGGACATCTGCCGAACTAAAATTAATTAGAATATACGATTATCTGTATTAGAGTTATTAAACCTTATAAATGATCTATTAAATGTTCATGAAAATTTTGTTATATCACTAACTTATATTTAATTACAGTTAGCAAATTTTCTCAAGAACAAATTACACCACTAATAAAAAAAATGGACCATGAACATAAAATTGACGACGAACTTGTAAAAAAATTATTTGAAAACGGCGTAAGTTTACAATATTAAATGACCATAATTCGACATTACATGTATTTGAAATAATAATTTGTAAGTGGTATTAAAAATATTTCAGTTTATGGGTATTGAAATAGACCAAGAATATGGTGGATCGGGATCATCATTTATGTCTAGTACTTTAACTGTAGAAGAAATAGCAAAAGTGGATCCTTCAGTTTCAGTATTAGTTGATTTACAAAATACTCTAGGAAACAATGTTATGATAAAGATGGGTAATAAAGAACAAAAAGAAAAGTATTTACCACGACTTGCACAGAACACCGTGAGTTATAAATTTTATGGAGTAAAATATTCAATATTGCCCATGTAAATTTCACATGGTGTGGTATAAATTAAAATCTCAGTTAAACAATTACCGCCACTATTTTTTCCCCAAATAGCCTTATGGTATTTTTATTTGGTAACATATATGACAGTACATAGCAGGCTGAGGCTTTCAATTCTCATATACTATTACTCTAATTATCATAATAATAAACGTATACGGTAATAGTACAATTCGTATACAATTCTTATAATAATAGTGTCCCCACCACGGCATCACCCACTTAAATTGGGTAATGCATTCGTAACATTTTCACATAGGTACCGGCGCAACTAGGATTATAGAGAGTAGTACCGGTATATAACCCCAGATCAGTGATTTTTTTAAATATTCATATTTATATACCATAATTAAAATTGTTTTAATATTTTATGTATATTACTAGTTTTGATATCCTTCTATAATTTGTTCGAAGTCCAATTATTATTATCTACATTTAAAATATATATGTATAACTTCTTATGATGATAAATTGTTTCTTTGTATAAAAATGTAATATAATTAAATGTATGGTGTAGAGAAATATGTATACATGTATATTGTGCATTAAAAAAATAAAATGATATGGCTTTTTTTTCTTTCATATGACGAATGATATGGCATTAATATATCAAATTTATTATTATTAATTATCAATATTATATCATGCACATTATACAAATGAGTTCTAATGCGACTAAATTATATTAATTTTTAGTGTATATTGATCGATTTTTATAACGCTTTAAATTTTAAAATACGATCATGATTTCACACGTATTTTAAAACTATTTTAAGTAACCAATTGACAATATCAATTTCTCGATGTTTAATATCACTTAAGAAGTCACGTATCTACATAATTATAAAAATCAAAATTTATGTAAATGTTCTACATATGAAATCTACACTTAATGATAAACTTCGAAATCATAGCAGTTTTCTATAATATAATGTCATATGTTCCATGGTATTAATGTTACCATTGTGATTAGAAAATTCCAGAACTATCTAAAATTAAATTGATTGCCACTGTGCTACAATAGTAGACTGATGCAGGGTTAATGTTAAATAGCCAATTAAGTAGTATTACCATTTTTCGAATTTGTGCCTGTATAGCTGTATGTGTCACTATGGTCATAATATTCAATATTTATTAATTGTTAAAATATTTATATTTGTAAATATCTCCTAACATTAGGAGATATAGTAAGGTTTACAAAGAGTTTCACTACATTTAGATGTGCTAACACTAACGTTGTTTTTTACTAAAATTGTGAAATACTAACTGTAAAATTGAGTAGGAATCATCAAATTCGTTGATATAAAATGATTCTTTAACCATGGAAAATATCTTTTTTTTTTAATTAAAATTTAATTTTAAGTATAAATTTGTTTTATTTTGGTTATTAATATAAACCTAACAAATTATTAAAATTGTAGTAAAAAGAAAATGTTATGTTTTAAATGTTTTTAAGTATTGTTTGTAATGTCATAAGCAGGGCTCGGGAGTAATAGAATTTACTAATTTTTATGGATTGACTTAAAATGTAGCAGAGTACTATAGAAGTGTATGTCAAGTTATAAGACATACAATTATGAAATTTGAAAGTGCCTTATTTTTTTTTTTTGCTTTTTTCAACAATTTTTCAAAAAAAATGCTCATTTCCACCTTTTCTGATTATTTTTGCTTATTTGACCAGTTTTTTTACATTTTTATAGTTTTCTCTTGCAAAGTCGTTTTTGATAGAATTAAAATTAAAAAATAATTCTTATCTTATCTACGTTGTCACATAGTTTGTCGCCGTCCAAGGCATTGTTGTATGGTTAACAAAGATTTTCCAACGTTGAAAATAGAACTGAGTGGTTTAACGTCAGAATGATCAAGAACAGAGAGAACAGTTTATATTTTATTTTTCAGAAAAATCCCTTGGAAAATCCATAAAATCCTTAAAGTCTTGAAAGTGTAGATTTATTTTTATTTTGCTTGATTTTTTAGTTAGAATTTTATAGTTTTTTGACTAAATATTTTTGCTTAATTTCTAATTTTTAAAATGCTTATTTTAGTGCTTATAATGATGTTTTTAAGTGCTTTTATAAGCGCTTATTTTAATGATTTTAAGTGCTATAAGTCCCGAGCCCTGGTCATAATGTATAACTTAAGGTACTTAAAATGATAAAATATCTGTATTTCATCCTGATAGTTAAGGTAAAATAGATGTACATCTATGTATTCCGTTAATAATAATTACCGATGGACATAAATTGCTATAATCTAAAAAGATGTTAAGTATAATTTAATTGTATATCAGGTGTTGATCATTTCCGTGGTTTGATTAAATTTATTTTCAGAACTCTTTTTGACCTCCTGTAATCAGTTAATAATAATTAATATGTTGGTAATAGATAAAAATTGTTTTTTTTTTTTTTAATTGGCTTTAATGAAGAACATTATAGCAATAATGATAAAATGAGTCAAACAATTTTCGATCAATCAGAATTTATAATAATATATGTGTTAATAGTAATATTATAGTAACGTCAATACATATTCAAGGGAAAAGTCAACAAGACGATTTAATTACTGGTAGGGGTAAATTAAATATACATTTCAGAATCAAATGGGTGATTTATGGAGTATAACTTAGGTACCATAACTAAGCAATTTCACTTTTACTTTATAATAAATATTTAAAATAAGAACTATTTAGATAGTATATTTGTTTTAATAATAAAAAAAATGTTACATACAAACAGGCACTTAACCAGGATTTTTGTTTGGGGGGGGGGGTCCAACATACAATCACCAAATACCAATAATGTTGAGAGAAAAAAACAAGTTCAAATCATAACAAATAGAAGTACTCACATCTTTAGCTGCTTGTAATACGAGAGTTGACAGGGGCGACTGCAGAGAGGTGGGAGTTTTACCCCCTTCCCTCGAAATATCAGGAACAACAAATAAATTATCTGACCTACAAATGTATTAGGTACTAATAAATAAATTAAAAAAATTATCAGTGATTTAAAAGTTTCCCGGGCTTGTAAATTGATGTATACAATAAAATTATATAATATTTATGAATATTTTAAATTTTTTTAAAACCCCTCTCTAATTTTATTTCTGCGTTCGCCCTGATAGTTGAACAACTCAATAAATCATCAACTATTAAGTATTATCCGATGCCTAGGTGTTCATTTTTTGGTTCCACATTAGTCACATACTTTTTAGAAGTTGTTTTAAAATAATTGTCAAGTATACCTCTCTTCATTACGGAAAGTTTTAAAAAACAACAAAAATAAAACTTTACTCAAAACGGCCTCTTTGCGCATAAGCGTATGTTCTATGTACTTATTCGATAACACCGCACATTAAAAGACAAAACTAAACGTTCTTACTACTTGGCAACTGTCATGGTGAATAGTTCAACAATAATTATTATCAGTGAAAAATATAAATTTAATACTATGTTCAGTTAGGTATACAAAGAAAATCAAAATGTTATCTTTAGTTGATGCCTCCCAAAGATTTATATATATTATAATATAATTACACATATCTGTGATGTCTTCAGACAAACAAGGGGACAAGCGCCTATAACGAACTATACATAATATGATTTTCCATGGTCTTGGAATATAAATGAAATCATTGATTTTTTATATTTTAAAACGTAATTGGTACAAAATAAAAGTAAAAATTAAAATTAAAAAAATTCGGGGGGTAGGTTCAGACCCCATTGATCCACCTTCTGGCTATGTGCTTACATAGAAAACCTAAAACCTACTAGTAGTAGAAATATATCTTCCAAAAATGAACTAAATATTTATTTGTATTAGTGACGTTTTCAAGATTTTAGTTTTTGTTTTGTATTATCAACAACAAATATATTTATTTTCATGGGTAAGTGAATTGACATAATGTATATATTTATTGATGTTTCTATCAAACTGCAAAGACTATCAAATAACACAAATAATAATTAAACATATTTACCAATTTCAAAGATTTTCTTGTTGAAAAATGTATAAAATAAATAAATTATTACATAATATAGACACATACAATACTTTTAGGTTAGCAGTTTTTGCTTGTCAGAGCCTTCATCAGGGTCAGATGCATTTGCCTTAAAAACCACAGCTAAAAAAGATGGAGATCATTATTACATAAATGGAACTAAGATGTGGATATCGAATTCTGATATTGCAGGCATTTTTTACGTTTTTGCTAATGTCGATATCTCTAAGGTAAAAATATTATATTATTTAAGATCCAGTGGCCTATTTTCAATTTTTTTGTGTGGGTTTACAATTTTTCTAAAAATTAAGTGATTTTATAATATTATAAAAAATACATTTAAGCATTGATTATATATGTAATCAATGTTTTATTTTTTTATTTATACTTTGTTCAACAATTATTAATGATGAAACTAAAAAACTAAATATAATCTTTAACAACTAATTAAGAATAAAATGTTTACAATTAAACTAAATATTAAATTAAAAAGCCAGCAGCCTGGTAAAAGAAACAAATGGCAAATTAAATTACTAGAGGTGATTGAGAAGAAATAATGGATTTAAAGTTGAAGGAGATCTTGTTAGAGTTAAGTAGGTAGTTTTAAAAACTGATACGCTTCGTGGATAAGAATAAACAGCCAAAAAAAATATGAGGAATGTCGCAAATAGAAGGAGAGTGATATAGGGTTCAAAGAGATGAGTCATTCAAAGAAAGTTTAAAAGAGTGAGAGGAAAGTAATGTATGGCCAAATCGAGGTTTAGAATTAGAAAATATATATTTTTCTGGGTAAAATGAGTGTAAAATCACGGGTTTAATAATAGGAAATAACTAAGTTTTTTCAGCAATGTAAGATGAAGCAGTCATAGGAAGATTATTAGAAAAGGAGATATGGAATTTGGGAATTATCATAAGATTATATAGGTATTATATTATCGTACAAATATTACAACTACATGATATGAATTAATGTTCTTTTTCTCTGTACCTTTATAGCAAGTAATTTATGACCTTTTTTCCCAGGGTGAGATCCGGAAACCACCCATGATATACGCCACTACTAAAACCATATGAATTAATTAATTAAAATTATTATCAAATATTTTGATTAAATAAATTATACTGATATTATTTAGGGTCACAAAGGTGTCACTTGTTTTATTGTAGAACGAGATCAAGAAGGCTTTTCAGTTGCTAAGAAAGAAGATAAACTAGGCATGAAAGCTTCAGGAACATGTGTTCTTCATTTCGATAATGTCAAAGTTAATATAATTATTAGAGAATATTTAATTTAATATATTTTTTAATTTAATTATTTACTTATTTAAGGTACATAAAGATAACATTATTGGTAAAATTGGTGAAGGTTATAAAATAGCAATAAATTTTCTGAATGAAGGAAGAATAGGAATTGGTGCGCAAATGGTAGGTATAGCTCAGGGATGCTTGGATCACACAATACCATATACATTAGAAAGAAAACAATTTGGTTCAAGTATTTTTGACTTTCAAGTAAGTTTAAAAAATGCACATTTAAATAACTTTACAATTGTAGTTAATATTAATTATTTATTATAGTCTATGCAGCATCAAATTGCTCGAGCAGTAACTGAAGTTGAAACTGCTAGACTAATGGTATACAATACTGCAAGATTAGTAGAAGCTGACTTGCCATTCATTAAAGAAGCAGCAATGGCTAAATATTATGCTTCAGGTAGAATTTAATAATTTGATTATGATTGCAAAATAATAATGCTTTGACATAGAGGCGTGCCTAAGGGGAGTTTTGGGTGTTCAAATCTCCTGAAATTTTAACTAATTTAGAAAAAAAGTATTGCTTGATATTTTTACACAATTTAGTTTAATATTATAAACATTTGCCAGGGTTCTTTAAATTATTCATAGTCGATCTATCTAGTACTATACGATTATTACTGATATAATTACCAACATTATCATCTTATAAAATAAATACATTCGAAATACGAGGTAGTAAAATTATTAACCCCCTCCCTCAAAAAAAATTGTAGGCACGCCTTTGCCTTGACATTTAAATAAAATATTTTCAAAAAATGGTTTTTATTATTTTTGTAGAAGTTGCAGGCAAAGTTACATCCGTATGTATTGACTGGATGGGTGGTGTAGGTTTTACAACTGACTACCCACAGGAAAAATTCTATAGAGATTGTAAAGTTGGCCCAATTTATGAAGGAACAACAAATATGCAACTAACTACTATCGCCAAGTTTATTAAAAAAGAATATGAAAAATAATTATTTTTCTTTGTATATTTAAAATAAATAAATTTTAGCTTAATAATCTTAATATTAAGCTGAATAATCTTTTTATACTATTTTAATCATAATAAAAAATAAAAAATTTAGAAACAGAAAAAAGTTGTTGTTTATTACAATATATATCCTATATAATATAATAGTAAATTGAGTTTTTAATATTTAGAATAATAAAAAATATGTTATTATAAAATAAATGAACACCTAATTAGTAGAGGTTTGCACGGGCTGATAATTTACAGCCCGATAATATTTTATTTGTGTAAGCCCAGCCTGATCCGGCCCGGTAAAATATTTAAAGTCCATTCCTGCCTGCAAATAGTATTTCTTCATAATAAAGATAGCAATTAAATTTCATCACTTACTTTAGAGTAATTAAAGAATTTAGAAAAACAATTTTTTTTCACAGTCACTAATGCAAGTTTTATATTACTACATTCATCACACTTAAGAGAATTACAAAGTTTATGGACCACACAAACCAGTTATAAAAATATAATCTTTTTTGTGAATTGGCTTAAAGAATGTTGAAAACTGTTACCAATATAGTCATTATCCATGATAAATTAATTTATATCTTTGACATTATCTTCATTAATTATTGCATCTGAATTTATACCTAAGGAGTTATTGTTCAATACTTTGATAGAGTTTGTACTAGAATAGTACAAAATATCAATATCTTCCAGTGGTATGTAATTTCCAGTATTAAAACATTGGACATTATTCAGTTTGATCACTAATTTTCTATATGCTGTTCGAAAATGTTGGGCTGTTGGGTTATTATTATAGCCTCCATGACCTCTATATTACTCTATGACTAATATAGACTATAATATAGACTAATATAAGAACTTTGAATAAGTAACAAATTGTGAACAACACATATTTGAAATAAGTAAATAGTTGTATTGTTATAATTTATAACATAAAACTTAAATTTTATTAACGAAATGACATACACTCAAATTTTGTTATAAATTCTAATACATCATTGTCATAAGATGGTTCTTCACCACGTTTCCAAAAAATATCTTCTAATACATTCAATTTTTCATAGGGAAAAGTATGAAGTGACATATCATTGAATATATCATCATATATAAAATCATTAGGAAATTTTTGTTCATTGACATATGGAGATACTTTTTGTATGTAATATGCATCCTTATTTAAAATCCTATTAGGTGTTGAAGTAACTGTTTGATCAATGCTATTACAAACAAATATACAAGTTGTTAGTACAACTTTATCCCAATTTGCCCATAGTAAATTATTCAGTAACTGCTTTGGACAATGTGGCATGTATACAAATGTATCTGGTGACAATTTCCGTTTTCCTTCCTCATTATGACTGATCAAATCGCATCCAATCTTGGCTAAATAAATACGTTCATTATCCGTAAATGTAGGATCATAAACATAACATTTTTCAACATTTAACTCATTTTTAATTGCTAAAAGTAAACTTAATTGATATTTAGATTGTATATTTTCCAAGAAATTTCCTAACCCATAACATAGGATTGATAATGGATTAGATTCATTTAATAATTCTTTAATTTTTCCTAATAAGTTTGTCCAGAAAGAAGAAGTGGAAATAATGTCTAGACATTCTTCTGTGCTCCTAAAAAAAATATAAAATTAATTTATTATACACGATAAAATAAAAATATTTGTAAAAAATAATAAAAATTCTAATGAATGGAAATCAATATTTAAAATATAAATGATTCAATATATAATGAACAATAAAAAAATTATTTTGAAATAATAATTACAGTACAGGAACAGTAGTAGGCAAAAGGATCAAAGAGACCATAACCTAGTAATACTTTTATATCTGTAAATAAATGAATTTATACAAAATATAGTAATGATAAATTGTAATTTCTATATTTTCCCTCTTCTCTTCCTAACAAAACACTATGCGACAGTTAAAAGATAAAAAACAAATGAAAAGTTTTTTTTCAAAAGATAATAATTCTCAATAAAGTATCAGATGAATAATATAAGTCCTCTTTGTACATCAGAATGTACTTTTTAAGAATACATCCTGTCCTATGAGTATATATTAGTTGCTAAATCTCTTGTTTTAACAAGATAATCATATTTTTTTATATTCTTAATTCACATGACTCAAAAATTTAATTACCTTCTTTTTTATTTTTTAACTAAATATAAAAGTTACATTTAAATTTAAAGATTTTCTTAAATATTGATGGTCCAACAACTCAACTTCAATAATCATCAAGATTTTTAGGTTTTTTTTTTTATAGAAAAGAGTAATAGGTACTTAAATTAAATTTAGTTTAATTACATTTTTTTAGATAAATTAAAAATTAAAATCTATTTGAGAGTTAACATTTATCAACATAAGTTAATCTTTTTAATTATAAATAAAACTAAATCTTATTTTAGTTGAGAAAAATATTAAAATTGCTATTTTTAAATTGATAAAAGTCATATTTTTTTTTTTTTTTTAATTGAGTATTTATATATATTTAAAAATATAGGTAAAACATAAGGGAAGGATCATGGATGAAATGTGATAGAAAATTATTAGATTTTTTGAGAAATTATAAGGGTACTTAAGAATCGTCGGGGATATTAATGAGGAATTATAGGAAGAGTTAACTGATTAAAAAAATAAATATAGGTAATTGGAAGCAAAATGAGAAAAGCTGATAACTTAGACGATTAAGGCATATGATAAATGAAAATAAATTATAATTTTTTTTATGGTTTGGATGAATTCAATTAGTTAAGAAAGTAGGTTAGACTAAGGTAAAATATTTAGAAATTATAGTATTTTAAATAATCTTTAATTTATATAATACTATAAAATTCATGAACTTAGTATTTTATGATTATTTTTTTAATTCATAGTCGTAATGTACTTACTTTGTATGTTTAAGAGATCTAGACGAAAAAAGTTTTTTATTTTTTTTTGGCATACTTTTGTTACCTATATTATCATAATTTCAATTTGAAGCCATCAATTTCCATTAAATAATATTAACATGTTAATTATATAAATATATTGATTTAGAAGATTCATATTTGAATAAATGAAACATAAAATGTCTGCAAGTTATAATGTTGAAATTAGAATAAACAAATTATGTATAAACTATAGACACATATCTTTAAAGGTCTATGTAAGAAATAAAGTTTAAATTTTAGAAATTTGAGAGATAACTAATATCTATATCCTGTTATCAAAATAAATTGATCATGTTGTTATCACTAAGCACAAGTTTTGGTGTTTTTGTAGATTAAGGAATGGTCATAACATGCTTTGTTTGAAAATGTATTCGATGTAATTACCACGATTTCAAATATTAATATTTTACCAATTTATATTGGTATTGAAAACTACAGTCTTTAGTTATTACAGTGCATAGACATTTTTACAGGAATTATGTAGTGTATATATTATTTTCTATAATGTAGGATCGTAAATAATACGGGTTTCGAGACCTACACCAATGTCAATCCTCTGGCTTTCAGTTATAGTACGAAATAAAAGGACGCAACCACTGAGCAGACCGTATGTGGTTGTACTTGAGTTTTTTAAGTAAAAATAAGACACGAAATCATAATAAATCATAATACTATACAATGTGATATAGTCAATGTATTGACGTCCATCGCATGCATTGTTCACAGATGTCGCTGTGGTCTCCTTGACCTCTACGGGCCATGCTATTTTTTAGCCATCGATTTCCCTCTTTCCCGTACACGTGCTTGGAATTTCGGAACAGCATCTGAAATCGAACAGCTGGAAAGTTTTTGTCGTTCGTTGATCGTTTCGTTCCACTGATAACTAATCATAAATCGTAGGTCATTTACGTTGGGAGCTGCGATTTAATATTTACTCGTGTGCATAACAGTACGCCGACGATCGTCATAATAACTATAGGGATCGATAATCGATAATTCGTTTACCTATTAGCCGATAGTAACAATATGTACATATTTTTAGTTTTAAAAAAGTCACATCCAAGATAAAATATTCACATCTGTCATACCCATAAGAATTTTAAGCATTCTTACAAGACAGAAGTAATATAATATTGAAAAGTACTCGTAGAAAATAAGTAGCTCAAGAGGGGTATGATCATAGGTAAAAGATAAGGGTAAGATCTATGCCTCCGCAAATACGTCACTGGACACGACGGGACGTGTTCCCCGCCGATAAATCGTTTAAATCGCGAAGAACCTGAACGGGAGTTTATCCAAAATAGCCCATTTTAAATAAGTATACCGCATATCGTTGCTGTACAGGTAGGGTCCGCGATAAAATCGTAGAACTGGTAAATAATAACTTGTTCACGACAAGCGGACGTCAGTAACGTGGCTCCGTGGATAGAAGTTCGAGAGGTGGTCGAACACATCGCGACTATGTGTCCCGCGCGCGTTATCACCGTCTTATCACTCGCGGACGTCACACCGTAGACCCGTCGTCGGGCGGCGGCGACACGGAGACCACGCCACGGGCACCGCGAACGTCTCTTCCGCACCACCATTCGCGATCCCGTCAGCAACGCGTGCGTGCGACCGATCGAGTGAGTGTGTCTGCGTGTGCGGACCAGTGTGTGTTCCTCGCGCCTAACCTACTTCGCCAAATTGCAAAGCGATCGCGAAACAATACGTTTTCCCGGTTTTCCGATATCCACGATCGTACGCGTTCGTCCAGGCTGTCCGTTGTCTTCCGTCGCGTCGCGTTGCTGCCCCACGATCGTTTCATACCTTTATTCCCCTCTCCCCCGCCGTTCTCTATTTATCGTTAACACACGCACACAGATCGCACTCTCTTTTCTCTCTCTCACTCTCTTTCTCTCTTTTTTTCTGTCATTCGGCCGATACTCGTGTGCATTTTTCATATTCTCGTCCCGAAACTTAACGACAATGACCACGAACGGTGAGGAAACCACGTCCGATCGGAACGTAGAAATATGGAAGATCAAGAAGCTTATCAAGAGCTTGGAGATGGCTAGAGGGTGAGTTTTTTGCGGGTTTGGAGTGCGATCGGTCGGATGCAGCGGCCATCGTTTCGGCCCACCCGACGTTGGAGTTTTTATGGCCACCATGGTGTCCGCGCGTGTTTTTCGCACCTGCTCCGTGTCATCGATAGCAACACGTCGGAAACGTGTCCGCTATTGACGTGGTCGTACCTACGTGCTTTCGAACGTCTCGGCCAATGCTAGGTCGATTTTGTCGACGTTGCCCCTTGACCTACGGTTTCCCGAGGTTTATACTCGATCTTCTTATTCCTTCCACCCACCCCTCTGTGTACTCGATCACTCAGCTAATTCTTGAATGGATCATTGAAAATTCATCCTAGCTAGATTTATTATCATGCCTCTTGTGTAAAAAACATTTTTTGACTTATTGATGGTACTACTGTATTGTAAATGCCCGCTTGAAATATGCTAACTAATTTGGTTTCGCCCACAGCATTTTTTGTATCATGCAGCGATTTCTTCTATTTAAAATATACCATTTTTTTTAGTTGCGCTACCAACTGTTACGTTTGATTAAGCTTACTCAATGCTCTATGGTGCTCACACAAATAATGATTGAAAATTAAAGTTATATTTGGTCTAGCATAATGTTTTTAGTGTTTGATTCACATCTTATAATCTTACTCAACTTGGTCTATAGTCATTAAACATACATACTTGGAACATCATTTTTACATTTGTAACATTTTTGAGTTGCTGAATTAATCAGTTTGTTGTTATCAGAAACAACTAAAAGATTAATTTTTATTCAAAAGAATCTTTATAAGTATCTTATTTATTATATTTTTAGGAATGGAACAAGTATGATCTCATTAATCATACCACCTAAAGATCAGATTTCTAGAGTAAGTAAAATGTTGGCTGATGAATATGGTACTGCATCAAACATCAAGTCACGTGTAAACAGATTGTCAGTGTTGGGTGCTATTACATCAGTACAACAAAGATTAAAATTGTACACAAAAGGTAATTTTTTTAAATTCTTTATTCGTTTTATTTGTCATGTATATTAACAATATATATTGTTTTTTTAGTTCCCCCTAATGGATTAGTAGTATATTGTGGAACCATTGTGACTGAGGAAGGTAAAGAAAAGAAAGTCAATATTGACTTTGAGCCATTCAAACCTATTAATACTTCTTTATACCTTTGTGATAATAAGGTGAGTCATTTTATTTATTTATATTTCAAGTATTTTTAATTTGACAACATTTATATCTTATACAATTATGCTATAGTTCCATACTGAAGCATTGACAGCACTTTTAGCAGATGACAATAAATTTGGTTTCATTGTGATGGATGGTAATGGAGCACTATTTGGTACATTACAAGGAAACACCAGAGAGGTAACTTCAGTACCTTTATATTTAGCTAATTATTTATTTTGTTCATTTTTATTTCAATTTTAAGGTTCTGCATAAATTTACTGTTGATTTACCTAAGAAGCACGGTAGAGGAGGTCAATCTGCTTTACGTTTTGCTCGTTTACGTATGGAAAAACGTCACAATTATGTTCGTAAAGTAGCAGAAGTAGCCACTCAACTTTTTATTACAAATGACAAACCTAATATAGCTGGATTAATATTGGCTGGTAGTGCAGACTTCAAAACAGAACTTAGTCAATCTGATATGTTTGATCCTGTAAGTATATTCATTAATATTATGGTACCTATGTAGTAATATTCTAATTTTGTTTTAGCGGTTGCAAGCTAAAATTATTAAATTAGTTGATGTATCATATGGTGGTGAAAATGGTTTTAATCAAGCTATTGAATTAGCTGCTGAATCATTACAAAATGTTAAATTTATTCAAGAAAAAAAATTAATTGGTAAGAAATAAATTTATTATATCTCATATTACTCTATATATGGCAAAATAATCTTAAGCTGTTTAAAATAAAATAACATCTTGTTGATCACTGATAGAAAATAGTTGAAAAATATAAACTGTTTACTAATAGATGGAGTACATAAAAACTGATAGACGTGCGAGATATGGCATATTGAATGTAATGCCATCCGAGTAAAATTATAAATTTATAATTGTATACAATTATATCATATGTTCAGTAACTTATTTGTGATCAGCGTTGTCATTGTTGACCATTGGGGAACTAATAAAATGATCTGTTTATTAGTGTAGGATCTATGGGTATTTATTGATAAAAACAATACGGCTAATGTAATTGCAGTTACTTAGTTCTTATGCTTCTAACAGTTTTTAATTAATGACCTGCTCTAATATAATATTTTATAAAATAAAAGTCATTAAAAATATGTTATTTTATTTTTATAGAGTAAATTTGTTTTAGATTTAAAGCATTATGTATTAAAATAATATTTATGTATCTATTTTTCTTTTTAATATTAAAGACAATTACTATAGTTCTTTTTCTTTGAATTACAATGTAAATTTTTTTTAGGTCGCTATTTTGATGAGATTAGTCAAGATACTGGAAAATACTGTTTTGGTGTTGAGGATACTTTAAAAGCTCTTGAACTTGGGTCTGTCGAAACATTAATATGTTGGGAAAACTTAGATATTCAGAGATATGTCTTAAAAAATCATACCACATCCGAAGAAAAAATATTACATTTGACACCAGAACAAGAAAAAGACAAAACACATTTCACAGAAAGAGATGTATGTTAAAATTATAAATAACCAATAATAATAATGTTTCAATATAAACAAGTCTTAATAAAATATATTTCCAATATATATTTTTAAATGCATATTTCAGAAATCATAACATGATTCTACTTTGAACTAATTATAAAACTATTTTGTTATAGACTGGAGTAGAATTGGAGTTAGTTGAATGTCAACCACTTTTGGAATGGTTAGCAAATAATTACAAAATGTTTGGAGCTACCTTAGAAATAATTACAGATAAATCTCAAGAAGGATCACAATTTGTAAGAGGATTTGGTGGCATAGGAGGTCAGTATTTTTTTTAAAATAATTTATATTTAACTTAAATAATACTGATCAAAAATTTTTCAAACTATTTGGTCACATATTTTTTTATAACTTGTGATATTTAATATTAAGCTTATATAATATAAATGGTTTTCAAATTATGGTTGATACATCTTAGAGAATTTTTCTAAAGTATAAAGATCTAAATTTATTGACAGGCATTCTCCGCTACAAGGTTGACTTTCAGTCCTTGCAAGCGGATGAGCCATTGGACGATGTGAATCTTGATGATTACTAAACTTTGTTTACTAACCTAAGGTAGCTTCATTCTCAATTAACAAGTACTGCTATGTGTTACATTAAAAGCATGAGTTTGTTTTGTATTATGATTTGATAACTATGCATGTGAAATATGTGTGGTATTTTTTTACCAAAAAAATAGTACAGCTTTCACCAATTTATTTATTTATTTTAAACAATATTTTAATTAAATATATTATTTTTTTTGTAAAAATTATTGCTCTTAACATATTTAACTGTAGATTTTTGTAAGTTAGTTTGAATGATAATAGTTTTTTAAATTGTGTTTTATACAAAGTTCAGAAAAAATAATGAGAAATATATTTTCTTTATTTTATTTCATAAAAAAAAAAAAAAAAAAAAAAACAATACTTAAGTACATAAAACTATAGTAATAAATATCTAATTTCTGGATTTTTTTTGTATGTATAGGCGGAAAATATTTATCTTTTCTATCTTAAATGTGGTTTTTTATTTAGTGTATTTATTAATCGTATAAGATAAGATAAGATGTTCATTATTTCATATAGACCTTAGTTCAGAATTAAATTACCAAGTATAAAGATTTATTACTTACAATCATTAACACTTGGATCCACTTGATTTTTAGTTTTAATATTCTTTAATTATTCCGTTTTGTGTTCATAGTAGATATGTTCCATTTCTGTATATTTGTATAATTTATCTAAGTAATACTCTTTATTTTTAAATTTAAAACATTGTATTTTCCATACTATTTCTATACTTATATTCATTTACATGGTATATATAAAGTCTAGAATTGTTAATTTCACATTCATTATATTATATTTTTCAAAATATATAACTACTTAGTATCGAGAAAAATTTACCATCCTTATAATTAAAGAAAATGAAATTTAAATATTCCAACATTAAAATTGCATAAAAATACTATTTATGAACTTGATATAATCAATAATATACTTATTAAATATTATCATTGATTATATATTATATATTATATAAAACTATTCGCTATAATATAAACATTTATAATAATAATTTATATTGGCCATAGAAGTATGAATATTTATACAAAGTAATTTTATTATATTTGCCACTTATATTAATTTTAAGTATGTTGTATTATTTTGTAAAAAGTCTTATCTGTTCTAATATTATATATGTAGAGCCACTTTTTGGTAAATTATCTTTTGTTTTTAATATTTATGCAAAGAAAATCTTGTATAGTAAAATATATGTTTAATAATTTGATATGCTTGTTTTTTAAGTCAAGTTTTAAGTTTTTTTTTTTGATTATATTTTGCTTTTTTTAGAGAGGAGGGTAACATGCTTACTTGGAAACTATAGTTTTTATTATACTTGAGTTATGGTTTAAAAATAGGCAATAAATAGGGCTGGGATTTTAATGCTCTTAAAAAAAAAGCAAAAACGATCTGAAAAACTCAAAAAATGCCTCAGAAAATTAACAACTAAATTAAAAAATATTAATTCATATGGTAGTTACAATAAAATAAAACTCACATTAAATGATATCATCAGATGTTGATTATACCAATTCTAAATATTCGATCTCTCATTTTAAATACACCACATAAGAGATTATAAGCCCCGGTCCTTATTATCTAGGTTTTGATGTCAAATATTGTCTGATTATATAATATGAATTATGAGTGCCTATTATATAATTTCTTATATTTATATAACAACATATTGTGTGTAAAATCTTAAATCAAATTGAATTTATTTAAAGTCTTTAAAAATGCCTGCTAAAACACTAAAAAATCTAAAAATTAAGAAAATATTCATAAAATATAAAAAAAAAATGCTAAATACAATTTTTTATATTCTCTCAAAAGCAAATGAAACAAGTTTGTTACAATAAGAGCATTGCACAGCAAACTTTTGAAACAAATGGAAAGTTCATTGAAATACCAGCCTTAGTTATAAACATATTTTATTAGTTTTATACTGTTTTCATGTTTGATTTTTTTTATTAAATTATTCTGTTTGATATTTGGTTAACCTTATTTTATTATATATTTCAGGACTATTACGTTACAAAGTTGATTTCCAAAGTATGCAGTGTGATGATTTGGATCCAAATGAACTTTATGATATTGACGATTATTAGATGGATAATAATTAGGATACCAATTGAATCCTTCGGGCTACTTCAAAAAAGTACAGTGCATCTTAGCATAAGCATGTTGAAAAAAAAATGAAGAATTCTATTATCATTTTAAACATTAATAATTTCCTATACTTGTTATCTTTTTGTTCAAAAGTAAAAAATATTCATAATTCCATTAATTGTAAAAATATATATATATATATTTTTTACCACTTCATTTTTGTGTTAGCCCTTATTTTTTTTTGAGTACTCCATTAATAAAATGCAATGAATAATACAGGGTGATGCATTCTTATTAACACAGGTTTTTGGAATACAATTTTGTTTTAGAATGCTTAGATTTTAAAGACATTAGGAAATAATTTTTTTCTAACGCAGAAAGAAATTCATGTAAACACAATGAACTTCAAGGATTCTTATTTTAAAATTATTTATAATCCTCTGGTATTGTAATTCATGTTTCTATTAATATATTTTTTGTGTACTATTTTTAAACTCAATTGGAAATGAAAATATCTTTTTTGATAGTTAAACAAATCTTGTGTTACATCCTTTTTTAATCCTTATACATGTAAAATAATTATATACATAGTTTTAATATTATATAATTTTAATATTTTATGTAGATATTTATATTTTTCTTATTTATTTAATGGTATTATTGTAATTGAAATCTATTGTTTTTTCTTCAAGCTTTATATTAGGAAATCTTTTTGTCTGACAACATTTATTAATACTATATTGCAAAGTCACAATTGCATATTCATTTTGTTTATTCAATTTGCTCAACTGCTATAAAATATATTATATAATTAGATTGAAAATCTTTTAATCAAATTTGTTTTGAGTGTACATTTTTTTTTATGTCCACATTGATAAATATTTTTATCGCTTCCTTTTCATCATTATGAAGGTAATGAAATTCTATTTTACTCAGATTTATTTACCATGCTTTGAAAGTGATAAAATTTAATTTCGGGATCTTTGAAAAATAATTGTTACAAAACATTTCTCAACAAGTATTTATGTTTTTTTTTGGATGAAGTACAAATATTTAATAAACATGATAGTATAGAATTCATAATTTGTACTATGTATAATGTTAAAGTATAATAAACTTTCAGAAGTGGCCTTAGGATTTGTGACTTATTGAAATGCTTTTGTGTAGGACAGATAGGTAGTAGTTTTTTTTTTCTTTTTATTTTTAACTACTAGCCTAATTTATATTAGTATTTTATATATATATATATATATTTTTTTTAATTGTAAAAAATATTAAAAATAGAAGCTTAATATCTAATACGTACAAAGTTTTTTTGTAATATGTTGTAAATCTTATTGCAACAGTTGTTTATTTTTATTTTTTGGAATTAGTAGTTCAAATTTGTAAAATATACTATTTATATTACAAAAAAAAAAAAAAAGGGTTCTCAATTCCAATGAAGTCAACTACTTATATTTACTCTAATCATATTTGTAACTGAGAATATTCAAAAAAGAAATAATTTTAATTTAAATTATGAAATAATAATAAGTTATTTTTGTGTATTTGTCATAAGTTACATAAATATAACTTTGATATTTCAAAAAATTATATCCTATTAAACATGCTACATAACAATTAATTCATTAAACAATATTTAATGAATTGGAACAAATTTAGTAACTGCCCTTTCAAATATATTGTTTTTGAAATATCTATTATTTAAGTTTCAGTGTTTGTGGTTCCTCATTTTTGGTCTAGATAGTACTTAAAAAGGCTGATGAATGATTAGAGTTGTACATTAAGTAGAGTATGTTTGAGGTACTAAGTAATTTAATTTTTAATGTAGGATACATTGCACCAAATGTATAAAAAATGATTTTATAATGACAAAGTAAAACTGGTATTATATGACCATTTATTGGTTTCTTGATGTTATAGATATTTTTATTACACACCTGAAAATACATTTCTTTGTTATCTTATAAAATTGGTAATTGGTTATAGATGTTACAATGCATACGGTGGCTTCAATTAATTTTTAAATATAAAAGTACTAGGCCGTTTTGTTTCAACAGCCATAAATTTTAAGTGACGAAATAAAATGTGCTCTTTTATTCTATTTTAAATTCTGAGCAAAGAAAAATTTTTTTATTTTAATATAACTTTTTTTTTTTAATAAGTGATTAAACTAAGTTCTAATTGATCTCAGAGCAGAGATATAACATGATCCTATTATCTACTATGAACATCTAAAAATATATATTAATTGAATACTTATGTTAAGTCCAGAAAAAGTGTTCAAATATTACTTAATTTAGAGTAAATGTTTTATTCTGTATAAATAAGATTCTTACAATTAATAATCCAAATAAATATTACAATAACATTAATTAATTAGACGTGAAGGTTGTTATTATGACTACAGACCGGCTAAGATGAATTTGATTTTTGTGTTACTTAAGTTGTATGTTTTATCTATGATTCGGGTTTCCGTGTTACACGTTTTGATTAATGACTCTATTTTTGTAACAAATGACTATATTTATTGAAGTTATACATTCAAAATTTAACTATTTATTGATGTATGACATTGTTAATATTTCTGGATTACAAGCACCAAAAATTGTGAATTTTTAAGTGACCTTTGTCAAATATAGAGTATTATTTGAATATAAAGTAATCTTGGTTGTAAACCGTGTTATTCCTCTAAAAATTTGCGTGTACCAAAAATAAACAGTATATAGATTAATGACGATAAATAATATTAATTTAATAAATAATGTATGAATTATATTTTAAAAAGATTTATGGACTTCTCCAGAACTATTGCGAGCAGGAAAATGTTGACTTCCATGATGACATGAATTCAAGAAACAGTAGAAATAAAAAAAAATAATTTAAAAACGCAAAAAAACAAAAACTGATTACTTCAAATGTCAAGACCTTAAAATTTAAAAAAAATGAAATATGTACTTGTATAATATAGATTAAATATAATGTTATAATAATTAATTAAAATTTGTAAAATAAAGATTAACTTTGGTTTTCATTTATTCGTGTGACTCATTTCTATAATAAATCCAGATAAAACTCGGATTAAGGGGAGGGGTCATGGACCCAGGGTCACAACGGATATCAAACAATAGTGGACCCCTGGTGGATAGTAAGTTTTTTTTCCTCATATAAAAAACAAGTATAGAAAGATCAGTTCTAAAGAAAATTTAAATAGTTTTATGGTTTAGGGTTCAGACGACAGTGATGTTTTGGAGGTAATTACTACCAATGATATAATAAAAAGGTTTGCTTCCCAAGAAGCAGGAAAAAATTATTTATACAAATAAAATTTTTATTTTTATATTTAAAAAAGCAAGAAATAAATTAATAAATTAGAATATAATTTTTTTTTCGTCTTTGAAATATATTTATGTCTGGATCACCAATATTTTGATTATGATTATGGGCCCCTAAAATTGTTTGGCCCTGGGTCCAAAATGATCATAATCTGGGATTGCTCCAGATAATCGTGATTTTATAAATATTTAGAATACGTTGTATCTTCATGCATGACTATCTTCCAGTAATGATCACGTAAATTATTATAATAAAATCATATTTTTAGTTGTTCATAAAAATGTATCGAATTTAGTTTTTGATTTTAAAGATAGTTTTAAAGTTTTAATTGTAAAAAAAATCTCATTTTTTTTTTTTGTATTTATTTCAACAAATTAATATAAGCTTTTAGATAGGTTTTATTTTCATAGGCATTATGAAATATTTTAAAAAACTGGACGGTTTCAAATGAAGAAAAGCATTTTTAACTATATCTAAAATACATATTTTCTCACTAATTTGTAGATGAATAATTGGTTTACTAGTGTTCAGTATTTATATACTACTAGTTTATAGAAGTAAACCATGTGCTTCATTTAAAAATGTGTTGTAATATTTATATAATAATTATAAAGAGTAGGTACATTCACATAATTTATTTGTTGAATTGTTATAGATCAATAATAACTTTTATGTATTTTTAGTACAATAATTATTAATAAAAATATAGCTATTATTATTATTAATAGGTTTGTAAAATTGAAGTTCACTTATGTAAGAGTTTGCTTAACTTCAATCTGTGATTACAATTTATGTTAATTTTATTAACCTGTTTTACCAAAAATAAATTTGTGTTTAATGAAGTAGATATTAGGTATTTAGTAAAATAATATTTTACCTAATTTTTCCACCAGTAAAAAACAAAAATATATTTATCAATGAAATGAAAAAAAAGTATTACCATAATGTTAATTAGAAAACCAATAACATTTGAGCAATCATAATTTCATTATTATAAAGATTATAACAGACATGTAATACGTTGAATTTTGTATGGCTGATTTAATGTTCTCTCAACAATTGGAACCTTTGATCAAGATCTAATTCTTCACCTTCTAAACTATTATCTGGTACACTTGGAAGATCTAAAAAATAAATTTCTTAATTAATGAAATCAATATATAACATGTAACAGATAATACCTGGAATGTTATGGCTTCTTGGGATTGATACGGCTGGATTGTCTTTACTTAAAAGATCGGCCAGTTCATCTTCTAATTCTTGTTCGTTATGCTTGACATTAACTACACTGCCTAGTGCTGATTGCATATCTTCATGTTCATGTATTACCTAAAACGATAAATATAATTATAATGCTCGTTGTAATATTTTATTTGTAGTCAATACTTCTGCTAATTCTGCCATTGTTTCATCAACATTGTCAATTGTCAGACCTGTATCTTTAGCAGTTAATTTTAAGGCAGCAAGTCCATGAGTATATGATTGTAATACCTGAAGAATTATATCAAAGGTTATATGCCAGTTCAAATTGAAAATTAATAATTATTTTTACTTCAGTATTATACTTGGATTCTTCTATTCTTGAAATCAAAGCTTGCACATTATCAAGAGCTTTCAATTGTTTTTCTATTCGTTTTTCAATTTCTTTCTTTTTACGAAGGTATGTAAGTGCCTACAATTATTATTGAATTTAATTTAAATTTTTTCATATTTTCTTAATTATTTACAAACTTACTATAGGCTTCATATTTTTGGCAATGTAATCTTTAGCTACTTTAACTAGAGATTCTTTTTCCTCATCCATAATGCTAATTTCACCAATCAATATTTTTTCGGTTTGTTTTAATTTAAAAAAGTTTTTTTCTAATTCTGATATAGGCTCAACATCTTTCCCACAACTAGCAATCTTAACTAATGTTTTATTTGCTACAAGATGTTCATCATGCTCAACAAAAGCTTTATTACGAATTTCCAATGAATGTATAATTAATTCAGTAGAACTCATTGAAACTTCATGATTCCACATATTATGTAAGCGTTTTTGTAAATCATCCATAAACATTATTTGTGTCTGTTCATTTAAGGATATTGCATTAAATAGTTCATTTGCTTGATCCTAAAAAAAAAAAAATTAAATTAAGCTATATTTAAAAATAATAACAAATAAATACAGTTTAATGATATATTACCTCATTTAGCTGTAAAATTACATATTCAGATTTTTCATCAATAACAGAAGTAGGTGATATAATTGATTCTTTTATTCTGCCAATTGACCACGATAATGGACTTTTAACTAATGTATTTACTGCCCAAGTTGACCAATTACTGTTATTTTGAAATGTCATTTGTTCGAAATTTGATTTTAATTTGATAATTCCTTCTCTAAAAATTAAAATGTGGATTAATAATCTTGAAATATCAAAACATGTTTAACAGTTTTTACATTTAAAGATAATACTTAATATAAAAACAATCTAAATTGTACCTAATAACTTTATTTGTAAAATATTGAACAAATATTTATTTAGAGATGGATAATATTATAGAACTTACAAAGTCACATGAATATAAAATTTAAAATTTAATATTTAATTACTAATCGTGTTTCTTTAAAGTTGAAAGACATAATACAAAAAGCTATATTGAAAGAGATAAATTCTGTCAGTTCTTTTTATGATTTAGTCTTATTTGTTTGTATACGTTTGAGAAGAATTTATAAATTATAAAGAATTATAAATCATTGAATTTGAAAAATTACTAGCAATAAATATTCATTAGGTATATTAGTTTTATTTAGTAATTTATACTAATGTACAAAAGATAATAATCATCAGTCTATTTTATGATATATTATATCCAAGTTTTAGCCAATTTTACCTTAACATATTCTCCACAACAATTAGTAGACACAACGGTGATCGTCCTTTGAACAAAAACCATGTTTTTAATTCATCTATAGAAAATGAACATCGATATCGACGTTCACACTCAGCTATAATGGTATTTTTCCAGAACTTCATTTTATTGTCATAGTTTACTTCATTTACTTCCCGATTTTTAAATGGAGCCATCAACACTGTAAGCCGTTCATTAGATAAACCTTCAGACCATTTTTGATTAGACATATTTATGTTCGATATATCAAAGCACTTTATAGAAGTTACATTAATAAATGCTCCACAACGATTCGATAACGGTATTTATTTTCGAACTAAGTTTACACAATCGAAAACGAATAAATAAGCTAAAAGCTAATCACACGAACCAACTTAACGAGAACACAATAATTTCGTCGAGCTCGACTGCCGTTACAACCTGTTATCAATGGCAAACTGATAACTCATGATAAGACAACTTGCTGTGATAAATTAGTCCGTCTGTTTCATGAGAAAATAAATAAATACAAAAAGGTAATAAATTGCAGGTTGGTTATGAGACTGACGCGACGGTCATTGTGTTATCGTCGGCGAATACGATGCTATCACGGTTTGAGATTGCCATCGTGGCCACGGCTGTAGGTACAAGATAGTACGTGGTTAACAGGGGTTAAAATATGACCACCTTAAATCGTGAATACTAGTAGATTTGTGGTGGTGGCCAATGCTACGTTATCAGATTATTTACGGTATATTTTTAATATTTATTTGGGTACTCAAGATAAAACTTAAGGGGGTCTTCGATCGCGAAGAAGGCTGAGGATCCGCCGATCGTTACACAATAATTTATTTCGTCCGTTTTTTTCCCCGACCGATATTTTTTCACCTTCCCGTTCAACGTAAGCTGCTAGTATTGAGTTTAGCGCGAAAACATTACGACTGCGTAGAACGTCTAGAGTCTTGCATCTGTTCGTCTGTTACCTGATGGCCTTAACCGAAATGAATGGTGAGTATTAATGTTATAATTTTATGTTAATTCGGTGAGTGATTAATACCTGGCGTTTTTGTTGCCTTTTCCTAAAATTAAATCTTGATACGTTGTTAGCTTTCTCCTACTTTTATCGAGGATATTATATTTAACTCAATGTTTGGAAAATTACAGTGCATACATTTCTAAATTTTTATAAATTAGCATAAGATAAATTCAAGTATCTAATTTACACTGTACATACCTATGTTGAAGGGTTATTATTAATGTTTTAAAATTAGAAGTCTTGCTAGTGATTTATTTGTTAACCCTAGTGGCCTTGATGGGATTACATATATGTTAATTGTTGAGATAGTTCAATAATAATGTATTTTTCTTATCAATGTATTTATGAATTTACAGGGACATTGTATTGTGTAGTTGTCTACACTATATAAGTATAAGTAATGCAAATTGTTATATTTTCTATATATCACTATTTTAGGATATTTAATGTGAATAGTAGAATCAATCAACTAAGTTTATCAGTGTGATATACATAATAAATAAAAAAAAAGAAAAAGAGGCAATAGAAGGATGACTATCTCATTACCTTCCTTCTTGATGCTGTCCCTGAAGTTTATTAGATAATTAAGAATAAGTATCAATTACTTATAGGTTTAAATTTCTTGTCTATATTTGTCGGTTAACATACAGTTTTTCTTTATGATTATTTAAAAAAAATATTAATAACATTGCTAATTAATTAGTCTATTAATTAGTCTATGTTATCATTCTATGATAGTATTGATTCTGATTTTTTGATTGGATAACATTTTTAATATCATGAAAACATTTTGAATCGTACCTATTTATTATTTACATTTTATTTTAGTTAAATTTATCATATTTTGAAATTCTTAATAGAAAATAGTAAATATTTTATGTATAAACTGTAGGTTATGTACATAAGTGTGCTGTACGCAACTCTGTATAAGCAGTCAAGATAGATACTTGACTACTCCGTAAACCTTCCCTCCCTCACCAAAATATTCAATATTATATTATTTATATTAATAAGAATATTGAAAAATATAATTATTAAGTTAAATGAAGTTACCCCATCCAAATTTGTTGTTATTATTAAATGTTAACGTGTTATGTACGATTATCCTGCCAATGATTTATGCACATGCTTATGGTTATATTCTAGCATTTTAATTCATATTTCAGTATCAATACAACTTCTTATCATGTTTATTTTATATTAATAAATAATAGTTTTAATACTAATAACGATAGTTATGTAAATATTACAAATGCAAAGTTCAACCTGTTAAACATTGTTTATAATATTTATATCATAATTAACTGTGGAGATATGTTGAACATAGACATAGTTTAGAGAAGAATAATACCCAGTTAAAATTATATAAAAATGTAGATACTAAGATTTTGGTTTAATTTCAGTTTAGATTTTTAGATTCTTTTTTTGGTATATTGATATTTTAACAATAAAAATTAAGTGAAAAAAGGTTTTGAATTATGATGAATTGCAGTAAGTAAATTTTAAAACCACATGATACCAATGTAGTTTACCTATATAACTGCTTCTTTTTAAATTATATCTTGTATAACATGCTGTCTTCAATGGTGTATTTAATTTCTGGCTCAAATATTTATTTTAGTTAGAAAAAAAAAATAGTTAAAAAATGCTAAGTTGGTAGATTTTTCATTGTCTTAAGAAGTTAACTTGAAAATATATTTTACTTGTTTTATTGCTTACTATAAATTAACTTAGATATTATTTTTTATGTCATTGTCTTTGTGATATAATGGACTTAAAACTTTAAACGAAGCTGGATATAGTCATAATTTAAAATTTATATAGATCAATTTTGAATTTTTTTTTGTGATTCAAAAATTTCATACTGTCATAAAATCAAAATTAAAACCAACCTCGAAACTCTGAGAGTAGGTTAAAAAAAAAATACAGGCGGTTTGGTATTCTAGTCGTATGAGGTTTATCGCTCACTTGTCTACCATGCATGTTTCTATACTTCATATTTGGTCTACCACTAACCTGTCATTTATTGCACATCTATATATATATATATAAGGTCATTCCCATTTATTCGACTGCGATTAAGTTTGAACTTCAATAATAAAGTCTGGCGATAATCGTGACTGTAATCGTAAAAATATTAGAAAATCCGTTACAGTTTAGTTCGTGCTGTTATACGTGATACATTTTTCTACAGTTTTTAAACACTAAGCATTATGTTAGCTAAACAATTTTATTTTATTCAATTGTTCAATCAAAGAAAAATACCATACATTTTTTTATGAAAGAGGACTTATTGAAATCGACACTCCTCTTTGTGTTTATTGTGGCTCGTAAATAAAGAGGAAAAGAATGAACCGTGGTACGATGTACAAAGAACTCAATACATCCGTAAAAGTAACACATTTTTCACGTATAATAAAAATGATCAATGTAATAGTGATCTATCGTTGTCACAATTTGTAGAATTATCTTATTATTGGTGTCTTGAAATACTTTAAAATTCCATAGTAAAAATAAATTTTCTGAATTTGGAAAAAATAAGCATTTTCTGCAGGTGTTTGGTGGGGATAAGAAATTAAGATTAAGTTAGGCTTATGAGTAAAATATTTAAATAAATTAAACTGTTTAAATTCTATTACATGCTGTGATACCACAAAAAAAAGTATTATACAATCGACTATCGAGAAATCGTATTAGTAAGGTTATAAATGTTTTAAAGTAGAACGGAATGTTACAAAACGTTCTATATTGTCATGTTATTATTTTTATCAATTATAATACGAATAATATTCATATTTCATATCAATCGGTCGTTTCGCGTGTTCAAGATAAACCTTTTTTTTTCCTATGTAGAATTTGTAAAAACTTCATCAAAAATTCGGGGGAGGGGGTTACAACACCTAAATTCCACCCTTAGTTGTGCCACTGCAAACCTATGTATTAGGATATCAGTAAAAAAATTCATTTGCATTAAAATCCCAGCCCTACAGATGACTATTGATATTTCTTAAGGTTTCGTTGCTCCATTTTTATAACAAAGTTCATCTGTGTATGATTGTAGATATTAAAATATACTAGATTATGTACTCGTATAACAAAGATCTAAAATATAATAATTAATTAAAATAATAATAATAATAATAATAATCAATACCGACGATATTTATTGGATATTGTAACAGGTTTTTATTATTTTATCATAATTATTTGTTGTATTATATTAATTATAAAATTTATAAATTTCTTTCTTTAGAATATTCAAGTGATGAAGATTTAGGATCATGCAGTCATAATGCCAGTATAAATGTACAATTCTACGTAGTTATGGTGTTTTAGTGGAATAGAATTTATATACTAATGCATATCCCAGTTTATTTATTGCTTATAAGCTGATGTTAACTTTGTCTGTAATGCAATTAGGTTGCAAAAGAAATTTTTCCAAATTGAAATATACTAAAAATTACTTAAGAATTACCTCGTAGCAAGATATATTGGAATGTTTAATGCTGATGAACGTAGAAAAATATTTATCAAATAAAATAGAATCAATCAATGTTGTAAATAAATTAGCTACTAGAAGTAGTAAACTATTATCATTTTAATTATTTTATTTATATTGTTCTTATACGTTTTTTGTAATCTTTTGTATTTCTGCAATTTGAGTGAAGTAGTACTATTTTTGTTTATTTGTAGGCCCTAATTATATGTGGCCTTAAATCTTCTTACTTAATAATTTTATATTTATAATAGATAATAATTGTATGTTATTGTTAAGTTGCAATACTGAAGTAATTAATTTTTTTGATGAATAATTTTAGTTTAAATTTTACTTTTTTTTTCATTTATTTAAAATGTTTCAGCACATTTTGTGCTATTAAAATTATGATTGCATTATATAAATAAATGTTTACATTTATATAATAATTATAATGATACATTTATTGTTCATCTTCTGATCAGAGTTCCTCAGTATCCGTTTGGAGGATGTCTGGGCAGTCAAGGTCAAAGTCGTCTTTTAAAGGTTTTGCTTCCTAGTTGGTAATGACGTGCTTTGGTTGAGTTTTAGTTTAACATTTTAATTATATTATTAATGTTTATTATTTAGGGACTTGTTTGATAATTTAGATATTAATGATTTGGCTATTTTTCTTCAATTTTTTTCAATATAAGTATAAAAATCTTATAGATATTTCATTAATTTTTCTGTTATTTGCTTTCGTACGCTGATAATTGTAGAATATTTATGTTAAGTTCCTGAGTGGTTGCTTTCCAGGTTGAAATTTAATTCTTTTGTTCAGTAATTTTTTGCAGTGGGACTTATAATTTAACACCAACATGGTGGTTATGGCTTTAATCAAAATTATAATCAATTGATTTTGTACATCGTATTTATTTTATCACTTTCTACTTATCAAATCATTGACATTGGTTCTCTTTATTTAATAGACTATTTATAAATTTATCTTTGAAAAGCTCTATACATTTTTATGTTTTGTGTGTAATAATATAAGATATACTCATTCTATCCACTATCCACTAGCATTATAAATTGTGAAATCAGTAGGTATCCAAATATTTTGAATTAGACTATTTGTTTTATTATAGAAAAATAAATTTTTTAAGCTTATTCAATTTTAATGATTTGGTATATTAGGTATTAGTACTATATGTTAGGTATAAATTACTACTTTTCAATTATAAACTAGTTAACTAGTTGCTAGTATAAAAAAAAGTAAATATTTGATATACCTTATGTAATTGACTATTTAGTTAAAATTCTTATGTGCTCATGATATAACGAGATAGTGTTTACATTTTAGTGTACTTCCACTATTTGTTTAAATAAGACATATAGATTGGTTCATGATGCTTTTTGCTTTTATAAATTAGATAATCAAATTTAATATGTTCTTGCTTTTTCTATTTTGTTAAAATATGTTTTTGTTTTAAAATTTAATATAGAATAATTTAA